GCATCCCAAATATGTCACTGTCTTTAACCCTTCTTCATAATGATTTCACTCTGTTTCCCCGTCTGTGGAATTCTGATAAACCGACTAGTATTATACTACACAACAGAATTTCTTTTTTTTGTGGTTACTTTGCAACAGCCAGGTGCCTATTGTGTAAGATGTAATCAGTCGTAACCACAGTGCATCTGGAGTATGTAATTGCCCTTTGACAATATGCGTCAGTCATATTAGAGAGTGCAGATGGAACACATACCTGCAGCCTTCAGATGGCTGTACAGAGAGTTAATCAACTGAAACTGAAGGCCCTCAGGCAGACTGCTGTGATGACAGATGTTAGGAACAATTTGGTATTCAAATATTCAACTTTACTTGATTTGTTCTGTACATTTAGATGTGTCTCCTGGTTGAAGGAGTAACCACATCATGAATTATGGGAGTTTTATAAAGGTTGCTGAAGGTCGGTCTAAACCAAATAGATGGATCAAAATAGCACATGCAGCCCTGGAACCCACAAGTACTATTTATATAGATGGAAAGTAAGGCCCTGTGTCCACATAGCATCTTTTTCTGGCAGGAAGGCGCTGGAAGGGCTTTTTTTAAATGTTTCTATGACAACGATAACTTGGCAACGTACAGTATCACCACTTTTATAAGACAAACCATCTTCATCCCATTGCCATTTATCTACCTATTTAATCTACTTTATATTTGTTCAACATTGCATTTTTCTCCATGAACACAAACCTGACTTGTGTTGCAAAAAAGATTAAATCAGAATCAGCATCAATCAAAAACCTATATCTGGTGTTTTTATTTTTCACCTCAAATGTATTTTTCCTACCACCCTTGCTTTCTTTTAGGAGCCATTATTTATTGTCACAGCCTTATTCACCTGCTGACTCAACACGTTTGTGCTGTGGTCAACACAATGGTTGACCCCAACGCAACCAACTATGTCTTAGCGTTAGCATGGCTACTCACTGCATTGTAAGCAAGAGGAACACAAAGTCACTCTGATTGGTGCCCTCCGACCATATGTTGATGTTGGAGTGTTTATGCCAGCAACCAGCACTGGAGACACATTTGCCAATCATCCCACTACCAAAAATAAATCAGGGCCCCTAGGAGTCTGGGCTATTGTGGTAGTTGCCTCCTTGACCCCGGTTTATAATACAAAACATACATTCAAAGTATAAATATGAAAAACGGCCGGACAGCTGGTGGACAGTTTGGATCGGAACTATATAAAAAACTTTGTAAGGACTGGTTTCAATTGTTGCTATATAAATACACTTTATTCATGTTTAAATTGCTCTTGACCATGAGTGGCACAGAGACAACATAATTGGCCTAACAGAGATGGAGGGGGGCATGGTGAAAATAGTCCATCCCATTCAAAACTATATTTGGACCCATGCACTTTCAGGCTTAACATGCAGAAGCTCTGAGTCTGAAAGGAGGATACAGGTGACGAGTAGCATGGGCCCAAATGGGATTAAGCAGGCAGAACATGTCCACAAAACAGCAAAGGTCACTAAAAGCAGGCAGTTAGATACACGGCTGGAAATAGGAGCTACTTTTCTACCGTTAAAATGCAAAGTCTGGAGAATAACTAAATGCTACAGGGTAAAGACATGTTGTCTTGAGGCGAGTGGCCAATAAACACACTAAGCAATGTTGGTAATAGCCGGGACTGAACTCGCCTACTTACAGTTTGAGGGCTAATGATTGGCATTTCTCTGCCGGAATTTCTAAAGATGATTGATTCTTCCTCCCTCTGATTTGCAACCAGTTTTGTGACAAGGGGTGAGGGGAGATGCTCATTTCCCACATAGCGATAGCACAGAGCTGGTTGTAAACCCTAACCCTAACCCAATCTGCTTAACCTAACCCTTTAACTCAGACCTGCCCACTTTGTATCAATTGATTTATCCTATGATTGTTGCCAAAAGTGTGGTTAGTGTGCTAATATGCAAATCAGGGGGTTACCGGTTCAATCCCATCCACTGCAGTCAACAAGTCAAAGCGTCCTTGAGCAACATATGTTCCACCAAATTGCTCCCCTTGGCATGTCTGCAGTATTGAAGTATATTTTTTGGACATGGACATGTTGACTCAGACATGGTATGTAAAATGTATGTATGTAATTGTGTGTGTTGCGGACATGATGCATATCAATATTGTCAAGTGTTGATTAGGCTCAAGTTAGACAAACGTAAATGCAGCCGCTTATCTTATCTTCAATAAAACATTTGGACCTTAATAACTCATAACATGCAATGATGCAACTCAACAATATGTAATGTTGATGGTGCTTTTTATTTAGGTTGCTGTCGGGGGGGCATTTTACAACAGATTATGTATGTGTGTAAGGCAAAGGAATGAACTTGTCTGAGTGTATTCTATTTCCGTGATGCATGTCTCTGTGTGTTGTAATAATGCACATTTGTGTCTCGGGGGCTTGAAGTATATATTAGTGTGTCATTCGCCGGATGTTAATATTGTGTGTGTGTAATGTTGTGGGTTTTGGGATGTGTGTACTGTATTGTCATCTGTGAGTTTGATGCTTTGACATAACAGCTATATACACAGAAAACGACAGTAGTTTAAAGGCTGAGTGTACGTGTGTTGTGTTAGTGTTGAGTGCTGTCACATTCCCTTCCTTGTTAAAGCTAATAAATTGGCACTAACAGATGCAGGAGCTGCCGTCAGCTGCTCCTGGCTTGTTAGCATGTCAGTCTGCGTGGCTAATGTAGCATAAAGCCCAGCAGTTGTGTTCTCATTAATCAATAGTGCTTTTCTCTTGATAGTCAAGAGTGCATTTATGACTAGAACAGTCCACAGCTTAGCAGTAAGTATAGAGTGTGTCAGTATTGATCAATGTTATCAACAGGTTGGACCCTGAATGTGATGCCTGGGGTCAAACTATGACAGACACAAGGGCCCAAGCCTTTATGGGGCCCAAAGTCAAATGTGTTGAGGGCCCCACTGCTGGAGGCCTGGCCATTTGCATTCAATGCGCATCATTCATTGTATTTCAAAGTGTTCCATTCTGCATCAAATGCTTTTGTTTAAAGTAGGAGGGGCACCAAAGGGAGTAGAAGAAGAAGATTCACGAGTAGCATAGGTTGGCAGTACTCATGTACGTTTGTAATCAGGAAGGCTTCACATGCCTGATGGAATTGATCAGTTCCAATATTGTGTTCAGCCTGCCCATTTATTTCAGCAACAAACTAAAGTTCTTACAGTGATCAACTCTGGAAATACGATTCCCGCTATATTTCTGATCAAGAAACAATTTGAAATCCACAAACCAAGCGACGGTACTACTGATATGTCAAACGTTTCACATTTTATGTCAAATATGGTTCACTTCTTTTTGTGTTTTTGGTTTATCTTTAGATGGAAGTATATTTTACTCATTATTTAGGGGCTCTGATATAAAATGATATAAACAGTTGTAACTTGTATTAATCAGAAGGGTTTCACTCCTAACCCAGACATCAGACACTTGTTCCCTGGAGAATCCCATCAGTGTTCTGGTTCTGCCCTGGGATCTCCTTTTTTGTTTGATGTGTCAGAAATATCAGAAAAGTTGTCCTGTTGTTCAGATGCTTGAACCACTACAACTTTTTAAATATGATGAAGAGTAGCTATACTTTAAACTCTTTCAGAATGCCTGATCTCCTGATATTGAACTCAGACAGCCTGGGCAGGAAACTAATTGTGACCGTTTGGCACGATCTCCTTCTATGACTCATTACCCAAAACTAAAGACCATAAGCAAGGGTTGGAATTTAGATTGGCCATAACAGCAATACAGGTGATGCAGCAACAATTCACCTGTCGCATTCCATCTCACCTTCAACCCCAAAAGCCACTTAAACCTTTTTACAAAGAACTGTGACTCACTCCCGACTCAAATTCTGAAATCAGCTGTTTTCATGAATCATACGATGGTGACAGACGTACTGTCATAGTATGTGTGTGTAAATGTGTTTATGAGTGTTGATTATCCCACCATTCCTAAAGTGCTGCGAGGCTCTGCAGAAAATTGTGAAAACCAAGCGCCCCCAGGAGGACTTTGGTTAGCGACTGCATTAAGCTATAAAGTGCAAATAGAAACACATTAAACAATTCAAAATAAAGCTGGGCCATGCCCACTAACAGCCACTAAGGGACATCTGTGTATTACTTCTTTCACGACACAGAGCACTTTGCTATGCCATTATGTTACCGGTGATAGAAAAAAGGATGTGTTAAACACATCGCAGGTGTATCTGTGTTGTACAGTACAGGTGTCTGGAGAGGCCAAAATGGGCCACCTTTTATGAAGACATCTCTTTGTGTCTCGGCCAGTCCAAACCTCCACTTGGTTCCAAAGTGTTCATCAAGCATGCACATTTAATGGAGCTTTGACTCTTTCATGTGAGTCTTTCCAGTAGCATTGCTACAGGCATGGACTAAATATAAAACCCAAGATTGATCCATTCATCATTTTGCCGTGGAATAGCCCCAACTTTTAAGTGCGAGGGCAAACGCATCTAAGACCTGATGCAGAAATGAAACTGATATCTATATTCTCTAGTTAAGTAACATGTAATGGTATTTCCCTTCTCCTGAATGGTTTCTTCCAACAGAATAATCTCTCCCTTCATCTAACCTCTCTCCCTTTTTTAAAGCCCTCTTTTTAGTTCAAGCAGCGAGGTAGACCTGTCACCACCTAACAGCCAGTCAGGGCCAACACCACATGATGTTGTGATCTTCGGAATACTAAATATTCACTTTGAATAATATTTCAAAATGTCATTAGTATCTCCTTCTGTTTCTTGCTCTCCCTTCTGTCATTACATGTAATTAGAAGGAACCATCGTGTCCGACACCCACAACTAATTACCATGTCACTTTGCTCATTTGGCTTACTGGCACCTCAGTGTGTGTGTGTGTGTGTGAGTGTGTGTCTCTTTTTTAATTGTTTCCTCTTCTGTTTTCTATCTCAGGTCTGATAACCACAACTTCAAGGAAACTGGACCGTGAACAACAAACAGAACATGTTTTAGAGGTGAGCAAATTGTGACGTGATGTGAGTCTGTGCACGCACTACATTCAACAACATCCAGTGGATATCTTATTGATAGTCTATGCGGATACTGGATATTCAATAGAACACTTTTTTTGTACTGACCATAGGTGTTGTGCTGCCGGAGGGCACAGGAAGATCACTCCGGGAAAAATGTTTTTGCTGTGAAAAAAGGGGCCGTACTAATTTTTTACATGCTAAAGTTCACTGTCCACGCACCTATTGTTAACATCGCAACCAGGGCAGCACAGCTGTGCCCAGAGTAAAACAATTGTTAAACCTTTTCAGCCGGAAAAAGGCTATTAAGATAAGATTAGATAGGACTTTATTTATCCCGAAGGAAATTGTTGTGCCAGAGTTACAAAAATACAATAAACTCAGCAGCATAATAATAAAACTGTACAACAGTGCAGTGAAAAGAGCAATTAAATAACTACAAGAAACATACACGGTCACATAATTAATGTCAAATACCGTGCAGTGGCGAGCAGTATTTAGTAATGCGGAAAAAAGCAGTGGCAGATACGTAATGTATACATGTATACGTATTATGCCTCCAATTGATGGAATATGAAGCAATAATCAAGCATCTGATGTGTTTCCGAGTGGTTATAATGCTTGATGTCATTTTAAGCAGATCTGCACGCTGGCATGGCACATCTCAGAGGCTGCAGGAATATCATTCTTTCTCCCTCACGTGCTGCAGGGATTTCATGACGTGGCGCTTGTTATTCTGTAAAGCAGCTGTGGGCAGCCAGTCCTCTAAGAAAACAAATACATTCGGTCAGTGATCAATGCAAACTGCTTTACTGATTGTCCTGCTGTGTCCATTCTGGCTGGAGAGTATTAAGTGACAGTGGTTACATTACTTTCCAAACCAGCCGCAACTGTGCATGCAGGCAAGCGTCACAGAAACAAATAGCCCTACGCCCCTGGTACTGACCACAATATATGATGTCACATATTGAAAGTTGGCATCTAATTGCGGTCGGACTTGCAGTCATCTTGACCTATTCTTTGATTCGGCAGTTACAGATTTTACCAAATTTGTGCTGTTATTTCTGTTACGTAATGTTCTCATAAGGATGCTTATGTTCAGACACGATTCAACATCTGATATTTTGTACATGTAAGTTCATTTATGCATGCATGACCTTTAACATTTCCCAAGAGTCTTAAAGGTCCCATGTCATGCTTTTCCGGTTATTACCCGTCCCCTGTGTGTTATGAAGCTTTGTATGCATGTAAACGGTCTGCAGAGTCACAAACCCTCAAAGTACACCCTGTAGCGAGTAAAACTCTAACACAGAAAAGACCTGTCTATGCTGCCCCAGAATGCCTCGTTGGACATTTCTCTTTTTCCATTGTTTTCTTCCTGGGTACAGTGACGTGCCCATACCCAAATGGACCCATTGGTCCAAATGGACCAATCCGTGGAGCCGTTACGTTACGTCCGCGGAGCCGTTACGACTTCCTCACACACACACACTCAATCTTTTCTCAGCTGCAGCTCCGCCGATTTCTCCTCCCTGAGACGGCGGGACGCGGCGAGGCTGTGAGTCTGTGTGTGAGCACACACACAAACTCCCAGCCAGGCTGCGGGTGTGTGTGTGTGCTCGGGCTGGTTTCGGGCTGGGTTTCGCTGTGTCTCGCTGTCTCGCAGACGGCCACTGGGCTCACAGGGAGGGGGGGGGGGGGGGGCAGGAGCTCCAACAAGCCGTTTAGGACAGAGAGTGAATACACATACTATACAGAGATGCTGTATGAGAAAGCAATGTGAGTTTGGAAAATTGCACAATATAAATCTATTCTAGTATACCTCAACAATGGAATCATGATCAGTAGAAATGGCCATGACATGGGACCTTTAAAGTCACAAGGAGTCAACAAACAGCCCCCCCCCCCTCAACCCCCAATCCTGAGGCTGCCAGGATTTAGATGAGATCAAATGGGCCCTCCCATCTTCTGTTCTTGTATAGAAATACACACACACACACACACACACACACACACACACACACACACACACACACACACACACACACACACACACACACACACACACACACACACACACACACACACACACACACACACAGTCCCCTCTGCTCTTCGCTGTCCTCAATGAGGTTTGCATTAGCTCGGTAATAGAGTCGGTGTGAACACGGTGTGCGTGCGGTGGTCTCTGTTGGACAATAATGGGAACCTGTCTCCACTCTGCTCTAGCGTGATTAGAGATAAATTGCGACACTGGCTTTCCCATGACTCATATAATCCAGTGTGTGTGTGTAGACTGTGTGCTTGTGTTGTGCATGCTGTTTGTGTATCTGTGTTTGTTGGCTGTGAGCAAACTGGGGACAAGCGACAAAAACATGGTACATTGCGCTTTCGTTTTAGCCTGGTTCGTGTTCACATTGACGAACAAAAAGGACTTAAGCGGGCACAAACCTGAGATTATTTTAAACTAACCTGACAGCTGTGGTTTGGAAGCACTAAGCACTTATCGTCATAGCGTCTTTTTCTGGCAGAAAGAAAGCTCAACATTCATAGGCAGCAACATCCAGGGATCTGGCATTGTATCTAACTATTTGGGCTACTTGAAATTAGTTTGACGTAATTTTTTCTCCATGAACACTACGGAAAATGTCTGACTGTTGCCGTGAGTTATAGTGGAAATCTTATGATCGGAAGGTCAGGGGTTCAATTCCCATTCCCTGAAGTCAATATGTCGATGTATCCTTGGGCAAGATGCTTTACTATCAGTTGCTCCCGATGGAATGGAAGTGTGTGAACATTAGTCTCCCTGAGCAGGGGACACCTTGTATGGCAGCCTCTGCCTCTGTATGAATGTGTGTGAATGGGCGAATGCGCTCTGAGAGGTCATTAAGACTGAAAAGCACTATATAACTGCAGTCCATTTACAAATTGCTCTCACACTTTGTATGAAGGAGCTTGTCACGGCTCAGTCTGACAGCCGGTCGATGATATTGTACGGAGATAAAAGCTCAACACTCATCGGCAGCCAAATCCAGTGACCGGCGGCCAATCTGCTTCCACAGACAAGTTTCTCGGGCCATGTTATGATGTTTCCCTCTGAAACAAAAAGCCATAGACAAATGTTTTGTACAATTTCTACAGTGACGTCACCTACGCGTCAATCTCCCCATTGGAAACAAATGTAAAAACTTGCTAACGCTCAGATAAAGATGCTTTGTGGAAACAGGCTCTGAGAGATGCTTGAGGCACTTCTTTAGGACTGGCTATGTCAGGAAGCTGAGCCAGAGTCGGGTTGATTACGGCAATACTGCGTCATTGTCTTTTTCAGTCATTTAAATATATTTTCTAACCCATTGCAGCCGCTGATTCTTTTGTATTGCCAGAAGCTTATTTTGATACGATATGCAGCAGGCTTAGCAAGAACTTGCAAACATTGTTTTTCTTTTACCACTTCATTTTCTTTTTGGCACTGTCACAACTGTTGGAGTTCTCCGAGGCTGAGCATGAAGCTGTGTAATGAAACATTGATTCGGCTCTTTCGGCTGAAACTGGGTTACAATAACGAATGGATTTAATGCCTGTTTTGTCTTGACTCCACTCTAGTGCCTTGCCATCAATTATCTGTGTTGATTTAATTGTATTCTTTGATTAATAAATTGAAAACTGATTTTGGCTCTGGTTTTTCACGGTCTCTGAAGATGCTATTTTAAGGAGCTGACACACAAAATACATGTTGTCGAGTGAAGGGCATCACTTGTTTTTTTAATACATAAAAGGTAGACACATTAATGTACACACACACACACACACACACACACACACACACACACACACACACACACACACACACACACACACACACACACTACCATAGTGCTAAGAGCTTTTAAAGAATAACATGTATACAGTATATCTATCTTCCTCCTCCTTTCTCCCATTTCCTATGATTATGTTTTCTCCGCCTGCTTGTCCTTCTATAGTCAGTAATCTTGTAAGCCAGGTTGGGGATAACTCTTTCTTCACAATCACTGCAGTTCCTCATGTCTGGCATTTTCTAAAATGACAGATGGTATTCGTAAATGAAGCCAGCCATGAGCACAGGGGAAATGAACTGCTGCTGTGTGGTGAATCAGTGACAAGCTGCAAAGTGATTGCACTTCGAGCTAAATTAATATAAATTTAGGACACAGACGAAAAGCATGCTTTGTAGCTTTCATTGGCTAGCTCCGCCTCTCAGTGATTACCTTCTTTATCATTTCAGAAGAACAAAAGCAGAAGTAGCTGTCTAAAGATAGGAAGACATATTTATACATTTTCATCATACTTGTCAGAAACGGACAGACAACAGAAGCAAATAGAGTGTGATTAGATTATATTTGTATTAGATTGCACTTTATTGTCCTTGCACAAGTACTGGGGAAATGAAATGCAGTTATCATCTTAGCAGAAGTGCAGAAAAAGCAGTAAAGTGTAGTGACTTTAACTTTTTGACCAACTAATGTCGTAAAGTCTCTGAGAACCACACAGTTGTGGGGCTTCAAATAAGCAAAACACTTGAAGTGCTAATGTTATTCATGTATTCATTTTGATCACATGAATTAAATATGATTTAAAATTAGCCAGTTGACTGGTGGAATGTATTAAAGTGCATGTACTCAAGGACTGTACTTAAGTACATTTTTGAGGGACTTTACTTCACAAGTATTTTCAATGTATTCTACTTTAAATTTCCCCTCGCAACATTTTGCATCAATATTGTTTTTATTTTTGTATTTGTACTGCATTTAACCCTGTAAAGCCCAAATATAGAAAAACATTAGAATGTATTTTTTGACCTTTCAGATGTTGTTGTAGAGAGCCTCTGGAGCAGAAATGAAAGAGTTTTCATATTGTTTACGTTTTGGTAAGTTTTTAGGTAAATGTTGTAATATTGCAACGTTGGCCTTAGGTGGGAGCAGAATTTCTGTATTTCTACTCACATTGTCTGAATAAATATATTGAACAACTAAGGGTTAATTTGCAGGATTGATTGCTTACTAAGCCCTATATCAGTATATAGCGTGAATAATAATCACACATCAGTCATATTTGTTATGAATAGTCATTTATTAAATAGTAATGCAATGGTAGTCCAAAAAACAGTTCATATTGTCGGAAAAGCAGAGACGGACATCACACTTGCTGCATTGTGTGTTTGTGTACCCTTTACTGCAGTCTCTGCAGCCTCCTCTCTTTGTCTTCACTGGAAAATGTGCCACTAGGTCCTTGCGTACATCCAGTGGAGGTTGTGATCTCTTGGATGGACTCCCATCACCTGAGGATGGTCTCTTCTGAGCATTCAACAGGCTCCAACACGTAGGTGCTGGGCTCCCCTTGCCTGAAGATGGTTGTCCTCTCTTGGGTGTTTTCAGAGGAGTTGTGTTCACCTGATTAGAACAGAATCAATCAAGATACATGTCGAATATACATTAAGATACAAGTCAAAAATATTACATACGGCAAATAGCAGAAATGCATTCTTACCAGGATGAGAGAGGAAGCTAGATCTGCCTGAAACTGTCTCCTGCTCAGGATCTCCTGCTTTGGCATCTTTAGAGCTCTGCACTCCCGCTTGTAGAGGAGCCAGGAGTTGATCACAGCAAGGAGGATGTGCCAGAAGATGCACACGTACCAGCGCCGGGACTTGATGGGAACTTGTATTTGGCCGTAAACGAGTCCAACAAATCCACACCTCCCATGTACTTGTTGTACGTAGCCACAATGGAAGGCCTCTCAACTTCTACCTAGGTTTTGTTGGCTTTGTCCCAGCGTTGAATTCTCTGCACATGGTCTGGTCCAGCAAAGGATGACACAAGTGTGACCGCTCTGCTGTCATACCATTTGACAGCACAGATGTTGTGGTTGGTCTCCACTCAGATGTCAAAGCTTCCTCTCCCTTTTTTCTTCAAGCTCTTCTCCTCTTCAAGGTTACAGTTGGGTAAGCGCACCTGCCTGGCTGTTCCCACCTAATGAATCCCACGATCAAGGAGCTTCATTACCAATGGACACGGGTGAAGTAGTTGTCTGCGTAGATCTTGTAGTTCTGACCTTCTGGAAGCGTGGAGGCAAGCTTCATTACAACATCACCTGACAATCCAAGTTCAGACTTGGCTCGTATCTAGGGATGCTCCTATCGATCGGCCGCCGATCGTTATCGGCCGATATTCACTCTCTGCCGATCGATCTGTGCTCTCTATAAAGGCCGATCAGGAGAGCCGATCACATGACGTAAAATACATGACACTTTTCTCTGTGCGTGGCAAAACAAGCTTGCCAAAATGGCTTCACCAGTCTGGCTTCACCAGTCTGGCAGTATTTTAAGGTGTCCGAAAAAATGACAATAAAATAGCGGTATGCAACTTGTGTGAGGCAGAGATCCTGCCTCTTGTTTGTGGAAGCGCCAGTAAATGAGCCCCATTAACTGAGTTTTAAACATCACTTTAAATGGAAGATCCCCATAGCCCCCACCCACTCGATCGGATCGGCCCCAAAATTGGCGATCGGAGCATCCCTACTCGTATCCCATTGACACTGCCTTGGTACACATCAAAGTCACAGTCATCATTCCAGAGATTACAGTTCTCACCCACACTTTGAACCCCCATGGGTGTGGCTTGCCTCACATGTATTGCTTGATGCTACTGAATTTCCCCTTGAAAGGAATCATCATCTCATCCACAGAGTTGTGTTCTTCTGGTACCACCTGCAGGCATTTCTCTCTGAATGTAAGCCAGGGTCTGAGTTTCCAGAGTTTGTCTTTCTTTTCCATCTCTGACTCTGTCAAGTTGTTTACAAAATGTAATGATGTCAACAGATATTGGAATCTGTTGCGTGCCATCACATCAGAAACAGGGGAATACCGTGTGTCTGTCTCACAATACATACGGCCAATCAGTTTCTCAATTCCCTTTGTATTTGTGTTGATGGATGTTCCATTCTTTTGAAAGCTGTACTCATTTGTGTTGGTTACCAAAGCCTGAATCATGTCTTCTGACACAAACTTCTGGAAGTACTCCAGTGGTGGGTGGAGGGAAATGACATCCTCTGTGGTATCTGGACCAGAAAAGTCAGTATTGGGACTGATTAAATCTTTTTTCAGCCAGTCACGGGGCTTGGTGGGTTTCTGTTGTTGGAAAAAAAACACTGACACATAATTATAAGTTATCCAGCAGCAGGATACAAAATAATTAAAATGATCTCCACTATGACCAGCTGTTATAGACACATTAAAGTAATAATCAATCATTATAATCCAGTAATTTAATATATATAATTTTGAAATGGGCCATTACCCACAACAGGCAACTTGAGTAAGATTTTGAATGCAGTACTTTTACTTGTAACAAAGTATTATTGCTACTTTTACTTAAAGTGGACCTATCATGCTATATTTTAATAATATAGTGTAGGACCATACCTATATAAGGCATATTTATACTTTTTTTTTTTCAAAATACCAAACAGATCATGCATTTTAGCCATGCCTCATTTTGCTCAATTTGACATTTTTTAGCTCTGGATTTGCAAGGGCTGATTCTGTGAGAACAGCACCACCTACAGGCCTGGCATATGTACTACAGGGTCTCCAGCGCTTTCGAATGGCAATGGCCGTGGCTGTCTCCTCCTGATTGGTGGAGTTGGCCCAATAGCCGTAGCGCCACTGTCCTGACGTCAGGACAGTGTTCAAATCTGGATCAGTTTTTATCAGATCCGTTGCAGCCCCTTTTTTAGAGATTTGGGTATGGAGGAAAATAGAGAGGGTTGTGTTTTCTGACACTTGGTGAGTTCCCTGGAACACCGGGGACACATATTCATGTATAAAAGACGTACAAAAGTGCATTTTGCATGATAGGTCCCCTTTAAATATAAGATATTCCACCTCTGTCCGTTGAACAATTGATTATTCATTGATTATTATTTACCAACACGCTAAGGTATTTGAGACACATCTGAAAGCAAAGGTGTTCTTACCGCCTCTGCTATCCTAGCCTCATCCTGGCTACATCCCACTTTGGCCAAATGGATGACGAACAGTTCTTCCCCTTGACATTGTTGCCAACATTTAAATTATTTTCAAGTTAAGGTTCTAGATAACAGTGCCCTTGATTTATCTTTCACAACTCCCAACGTCAGAAATGTTCTAATCACCACCTGGCTTTGACTGTACCATCAGATGGCCAAAGTCCAAATGTGCATAAGCGATAGCAGAGCTTTTAAAAGCACCGTTAAGTCCTCTGTTGGTTTAGTCTTTCAGAGGCCTTGGGTGCCTCCACTTTCACGTCTTCATATCCAATCCCTGAATTGAAACACATGTTCTGCGTGTGTATTTGTATTGAATCTTCACTTCCCCTGCAGGTGTTGGTGTCAGACGGGGGTCCAGGAGCCAGGCAGAGCACAGTGTGGGTGATGGTTCAGGTTCTGGATGAAAACGACAACAAGCCCACGTTTCCAGAGAAGGTCTACCAGGTGAAACTCCCAGAGAGAGAGCGCAGAAAGAAGGGCGAGGCCATCTATCGGGTGTTCGCCTACGACCGCGACGACGGGCCCAACAGCGACCTCTCCTACAGCATCGTGGACGGAAACGAGGACGGGAAGTTCTTCATCGACCCCAAGACTGCAGTGGTGTCTTCACGCAAGGCGTTCACTGCCGGGAGCTACGACATCCTGACTGTACGACAACCTTTAGCAGTTATTAGGAAAATGTCAGCTACATTACGAACAAAAGTTTGACTTAATATCTAAGTATCGATATTGTGGTTATGATCTCATTTCACCTAAGCAGACATTTCCAGAACTAGAATCGTTAGAATCAAAATACTTGAGTTATCCCAGTGGAAATGGGTTTTTGTGACGGTTGCTGATAAATAAAAAAATGTAAATATCAAATAAGAACATTTTAAAAATGAACTCAAGAAGTGAAAAAAAAGATTAAATAAGATAGACATTAATATAAAATGTCCAAAAAAATATCAAATAAAATAGAAATATAATAAATATAAACTCAAGAAGTTAAAATAAGAGTGTGCAAATAGAGGTTAAATAAAATAGACATTAATATAAAAGTAAAATGTGAAATAAAAGATCAAATATATTAGATTCAAAATATTTACATATAAGAAGTTAAATACATTTAATTCTTAGAAATGTTGATACTTCTTTATTTGTTGTTTCAATAAATGCTTCAATCTCTCTTCCTGCTATCCAGGTCAAAGTGACAGATAACGGGCGTCCTCAGAGGTCCTCCACGGCTCGCCTGCACATCGAGTGGATCCGTCGACCCCCCCCCTCCACAATCCCCTTGCTCTTCGATGAGCAGTTCTACAATTTCACCGTCATGGAGAATGACAAGGTGTCAGAGATTGTGGGCGTGGTCTCCCTGCAGCAGAGCTCCACCCTCGTGTGGTTTGACATCACAGGTAAACACCCCCCTGTAGGTGAGGGCGACCCTCTATCAGCCGGTGGAGAGCTGTGTGTAGTGTGAGGTAGGGCATGGTGTGTGTTGGTGTGTGTTTGAGGTGCAGCTCAGATACTGTGGCCTTGCTGCATGATCTGTTATGCTCTGCCCATCCCAGTCGCCATGGTGACAGCTTCTCCAGTTGTCCGGTCATGATATGGATTGAAATCGGGACTGAACAAAAGTATCTTCATGTCGTCCTGAATCTATTTTGAAGGGATGTTCCCTTTAAGGGATTTCGTCTTATTTATAAGTATATTACTCTATGACTCATTTAGTTCCTTTCATAATGTCTCTGCTTAGAGAACGCACGGGCTCTCGATACATTCAGACACATTTTAAAGCCACTGTGACATTCCCCTTTAAATGGGGAAATGCCCAACATGGCGCACTTAAATCCTTTGAATCCGTCAAAGTTCACTTTCACCCACTTGAAAAGGCTTAACAAGATTATGTCATGCCCAGTGCGCTAAGCTCAATTTTTTACGCATTATGTATGGTGACGATTCTGGGTTGTAAAAATGATTAAAGAATTCTAATAATCAGTACTTTTGATTATAATTCCATTAGTTTCTTTATATGTCAATATGTACACAGAGTTCCCCAGCCTTGATGCATGCACTGAGGGCTCTCTGGGCCCACATGATCAGTTAGGACTGCAGTCCCCACAATGCACCATCCATTTTTCCTTTTGTTGTCACTGAGCAGTGACGGTGGGTTTGTATCCAGCTGGAGATACCTTCTGGCTCATGCTTCAGGCTCTCCATTGCTCTATCTTTTCTCTCTTTCTCATGATGTCTCTGTCCGTCCCTCTCTCCTTCCCACTCCTTCACTTTAACTAGTATTAATGAGGCCAGCCACAACAGGAGAGAGACTGCATCATTACAATGTGTGTGCAAAAGCAACAATGCAATATGCAAAGTGACATTGTAAGTATTAATATGAAACAAATATTTATGTATACATTTGTAGTCATGCATAATAAATACATTCAAATAAATCATTCATATTAATGAATTGAATGTGAATAGAAAGCACATTTATAAATAATGTAAGCCATATGCACACTTATATAAGTGCAGTTTTAAGGCGCGTTGAAGAACAAGAGTATATGCATAATAGATGCATTAATCAAAAAAGTCTGATATTTTCATCATGATCCTGTGTCACAGTCATGTGTTGCATGTGTTATGTACAGGCTCAACGTAAAATCTATATATTACATTAATACAACAAATAGTTCAACGTATAATATGTAATATTTCCGCTTAGAACTATATCTGTTGTTGAGTTGTGTTATAACTTTCGTACCAATGTTTCCCTACATTTTTCAAAGCTAGAGTAATGTGAAACATTTGTAATCAAAGTAACGGTGTGCTTCATCGGGCCCCGATGAATCTGAAGCTATCAGTAAAACAAGCTAACGTTAGCCTTTAGCTCGTAGCCACTCAGTCCCGGGGAAACACTGCAAACAGACCAAAACATGTTGATAGCGATATATAAAGGGTTTTTACCAAAGGTCACTCTGTCTTAAGAGAAAACGAAAGAACATTTAATGTCCATAACATTTTTGATTTAAGACTTCATTCCTCAAAAATGTGCATAAGTGAAGTTAAACCCATCAGAAAAAAAGCATTTTTTAAATTGGCTAAAATGACAAATGTCCCTAATAAGTCATTAACCGTGTTGTTTTCCGTAGAATTCATCATAGCATTACATAGATAGAGGTTCACCTCCTTAAATCTTTCTCTGTCCTGTCTCCTCAGTCTGTCTCCTCATCTCCTCTGCTCTCCTCCTCCTCCTCCTCCTCCTCCTCCTCCTCCTCCTCCTCCTCCTCCTCCTCCTCCTCCTCCTCCTCCTCCTGTCCCTCTCCCTCGGGCCTGTCTGCCTCCCTGTCTCACCTTCTCTTTCCTCTTTCTCCTCAATGCTTCATGCCTGGAAGGTCCCAGGTCTTTTCGTGAGATGTTCTATATTCTGCAGAGCGCTTGTGGCAGAAACTGTTCCTCAGAAGGTATCTCGTTTCCTATTTCCTCTTCCCCTGTTAGCTGTCCTCTTTTTTCACTTCCTGTCCTTGTTTTCCACCATATTTTTTCATTTTCCCAGTCCTTTTATTCCGGCGCCCATCACCTCCCGTGCTTCCCATTGATGCTGCTGACATATAGAGTAAACTGTGTGTGTGTGTGTGTGTGTGTGTGTGTGTGTGTGTGTGTGTGTGTGTGTGTGTGTGTGTGTGTGTGTGTGTGTGTGTGTGTGTGTGTGTGTGTGTGTGTGTGTGTGTGTGTGTGTGTGTGTGTGTGTGTGTGTGTGTGTGTGTGTGTGTGTGTGTGGTGTGTGGGTGTGTGTGTGTGTGTGTGTGGGGGGGGTGGTTGTGTGTGTGTGTGTGTGTGTGTGTGACATTAATGGACTACATTTAAGCCAAGGTTCATTGGTGGGCAGAAAGGTTTGGTAAAAAGGTATCAGAACCTTTTTATCTGCTCCCATGGCAACAACCACCGGGGTTACCTGGGTGACAGCTCTGTCTAATGACCTGCTGTTAGCAGCACCTGTACACACACTCCTTATGGAATTAATGCATGCCTTCATGCAGCACTTTTTAAAGGCAGGTTCACAGGGGCACACTAATCTCCCACTCTCTGCTGACCCATTAGCTTAACTAATGGCTGCAATCCACTGTTGGGCAGCAGGTTTGGGACTGAAGAAAACAACACAGCCTCCAGCATCAAACACACAGCACTTAAACACCATCGTCAGCTGAAGCACCCGTCCGTTTAATCCACTCCAACTCTGAGATATGTGCCGAGATTGCACTCTGCTGACCCTAGTAAAAAGAAAAGTAAAAAATGCTGGGAAGTCATGTCCGATTCCGAGTGGTGTGTTGGATGTGTATAAATATAAGTGTAGCTCTTCTGTAAGACTGATAAACAACAAACTCTTCAAAAAAGTTGGTGTTGTCCTCAGGATTGGCTAGAGAGAAAGAGGAAGCAATATTTTCTAAGCAGCGTATCTGAGAAAAAAACGTTATAGATGGAAAGAATAGATGTGCACATACACAGAGAAATACACACACATTTTAAATGCAGAATACAAAGAGTACATATACAGACAGACTACGAAATATAGCACATACACCCACACAGACCACCCACACCTTAAAACACAATTACTCATTATTCTGTTGAAATTACAGAAGCTCTGAAAGGCATAAAACCTTCTGCTGATCCAACTGATTTTCTGTCCTGAGTTGATTTGACAGGTGAATAAAAACGTTTCACCAGGACAATATTTCTAATTTGTTCGATCTTTGCAAACTGGTGACAAGTGTTCTTTTGTTGCAATACTCATTCTGGCCACAAGAGGCTGAAGATTCAAGATTCAAGGCTTTATTGTCATATGCAAAGATTCTACAGTGTTTATATGGCAATGAAAAAGTCCTAGGCTCCTCCAACAATGCAACATGAATTGTTGGGACATACAACTGATCAAACCCATGAAAATGGTGCAAGAAATCGCAGAATAGAAATAAAATAGTGCAAAAGAATGTTGCAAGATGTGCAAGTAAATAAAATAAAAATTGAAATATTGCAAGAAGAGTCTACTGTGTATACACGTAAATGGATCATGATATTTGGATAAATTAGTAGCAAGATGAAAACACGTGAATGTTTATGGTACCACTATCCGATGTTGAAAAGTTTTCTTCGAGGCAAATATTGTTTCTCCATGCACTCTAAACATGAGTACATATAGTTTTCAGCAAGTCTTAAAAGTGATCCCAACACAACAAATATATAATTCACCTGCAAAAATCAACAAATGGTCTTTTCTCACTTGCCTTCCATACTCAAGCTGCCAACTGAATACAGAGCGTTCTGTAGTCATCTTAGTCCATCAGAAACCAATCTCCATCAAACTAAAACAAGAAGTGATTTATTCAACTTCAGACATGCCCCATTATCAACTTATTTATCAGAATCAGAAATCCTTTATTAGTCCCACAGCGGGGACGTTTACAGAGCTACAGCAAAAGTTGAATAGCAGGTTAATTACACATTAGTAATAAAATATAAATAAAGACAAAATAGTTCACAACCATGGCTCAAAGATGAGTAGCAGCAATTTAAGTAACCTAATTGACATAGATAGAATTTAAGTATTGTGACCTTAAAGGGCTTGGGACATTTATAAAAATAAGTATTTTCTTCATTAAAGTGATTGTAGCGCCGTACAATTGCAGATGTATACCTGTTATCGAGTAAAAGTATTTCATATTAAAGATGTCATCCATGATTACAGTGTTAACAGGAGCTGCTTACTGCTAGCTAATGTAGGTGCAAAAGTGTCTGCATGGATGACAGGACAGCAGCAGGGTGGAGGTTAACTCTGATCACACTACGTTATTACTAGCAGTGTGAGGTGAGACATCACCATGTTCAGTGGTGAGAAAAACTGTCCATCTGGACCAATGAGTATGAACTTGGCCTCAGACAGGCAGTGGAAACTAATTTTAGAACTGAACAGAGGCTTTTTTGCCTCCCCCTATTTTGCGGAGTGCAGGGTTTTTTTCTCTCTGTAATTTGGCCGTCAGCAGGCGGGAGGCTTTTTCCGGCCTCAGTAGGATTCTTGCCAGACCCTTTTCTTCTGTATGCCCTAAATAAGGATGATAAGGTTGGAGGGCTGACATGGCTGTTTGAAGCTGCCCGTCATGAATATGTTATGGTGCTCACAGAAACATGTCAACATTGCCACATGTACTCTTCTGTCTGTTTGAATACTGAGCAGTCCAAGGTCAAATAGTCTTTCTTGCTTAGGAAGGTTCCTAACAGAGTGAAAAGACTCCACCATGATAAAAGCTGTTCACATCATTTAGATGTTAGGAAAGGAGCTTTATTGTTTCCCTTGTTATCTCCATATGAAACACCGGACCATCCTTTAAGAAAGGAGAGGAGATAATGTTGTCCCACAATTCCTTGTGCCCACAACATTTTAACCTAACTTTTACTAACATGACCTACAAATGTTGAAAGCAAAACCTACAGATATTAAAATATACATATTTCTAAAGGATTCAAAGCCGATGTATTGTAATGTCCGGACATCAATTAGACGAGTGCAGACTAACCCATCGATCGAAGTGAACACCCATCAGACGCACACACACACACACACACACACACACACACACACACACACACACACACACACACACACACACACACACACTTTTAATTAAATGTGTCTGGTGAGATGAGTATTAATGCCTGATAACAAGCACAGCTCCACCTCAAGCACAGCTTATTCTATTCTACCATAGTACTGTGCCAATGGTAGTACAGTTGTAAGTATCTCTATCCTAATTGTGAGATACCTTTTTTTAATTAAAAAAATAACTCAATCAAGCATGAGACAAAATAACCTTTTATGTCACAATTATCCTGACCAACAATAACAATATTATTCCAAAAAATCTTCAGCATATGCTTAAAATTTATAAAATGATGTCATGTTAGCTAGGATTATGGTTGCTGTGTGGGATTAGGGTTTTTGGGTTTATAAGCATTTAAGCAAGGATGCACATGTAGAAATATATTGTATTTCATCATGTGTTTTAAAAAAAAAAGTAGTTCATTTCCCAACTGGTGTGTTTCCGCGCCTTGCTTTTCTTATTACAGTTATGGTAATTTGCACGGTTTACTCATTAACATTTCTATATTGGGTTGGGAGGATCCTTTGGCCTTTAGTGCAACAAGTGTGCAGTGTGCAAACAAACAAACACACACACACACACACACACACTCACACACACACACACACACACACACACACACACACACACACACACACACACACACACACACACACACACACACGCACACACAGATGGTCGCTTGCATGTCCAGTGCTAAAGCTTCATTGTGTTGCAGTGAACTTGTGCTTTTAAGTGTTTGTTTGCAGGAGTTTGGAGAGTTGGTTTGTGTGTGGACTTTGTGTGTGTATGTGTAACGGGTCAGGGGGGTTAACCCTGTCAGCAGCCATCCCTCCCTCATTTATATCATAACACACTCCCAAGGAAAATCAATGGAGAGTGTGTGGGCAGCAATGGTCTCCAGTCATGTGCAGTATGCAGAGCACCAAATTCACCCCTGTGCCATATTTAAAGTGAAGACGTTTCTGCACATGAATGAAAACCATCAGTCCATAAATAAAACTTTCTGTTGTGTGTATTCACATATTCATTCCACCAATGTGTATTGTCTGTATGATTGACACTTTGTGCACCTCCCTCCTCCTGTATGACCTTCCTCCCGGAGCAGGTGGGACCAGCGACAGTGTGTTTGACGTGGAGAAGGCTGCGGGCACCATCATCATCGCCAAGCCTCTGGATGCTGAGCAGCGCTCCTTCTACAACCTATCAGTGCAGGCCACAGACGGAACTAACACTGCGTACACACAGGTATGGAATTTATATCATCAACCTTTCAGGGATCAATATTAAGAACACTGACAACCAGATTGCGTTCCGTATGTTGGCAGTATGAAATTCATGACTTTAACATTAAAGAAGCCATCGTCTACTCCCGAAAGGTAATCGAGAGCTGGATTAAATTGCAGGAGGTATATCTTATTTTTGTCACCAAATAACAATGGTCAATGGACTGCATTTTGTATGAATGGACTGGATTTTATAAAGCGTTTTTTCCCGTCTTTGCAACCCCTCAAAGTGCTTTTACATATACAAGTTTACCCATTCACACAGTCATACAGAGATACCCCGCAATTTGGGTTTAGGTGTCTTGCCCAAGGACATATTGACATGTTGACAGCGTGGACTGGGGATCAAACCACGAAACTTTCGATTGAAGAATGACCATCAACCTCCTGAGCCACGGTGGCCTCAATGACTAGTTCTTGTTAAAAGAATCTTATAAGATCAGTAAAGAGTTGGCTAACGTAGCCAGGACCCTAAATGCATCATTCCACTCCATTACAAACTTCCTTCCCTGTTTTTTCACACCTTGCCCTCAATCCTCCGTTCCTCTTCAGCTCGTTTTGGACAGCCAGGAATTCCTCATGATCCCTAACCGTGACAGTCTTCGTCTTTCGGTCGGGAAGTGTTTTGATCTCCTTGTTAGTCCAAAGTTCGTTGTTTGGGAAGCAGCTGACTCTTTTAGAGGGTATAATGCTGTTGACCTCACAGAAACAGATGCAATTTAATATCCTCTTGGAACAATTCCCAGTTTATGACATGTAAACACTTTTGTAGAGTCTCCTTGGTGCCCTTAGACCAAACCTTCACAGTCTTTGTGCAGTCCTTGTTGCCTTACCAATGGATTGTAGGGGGCTTCCAGCTGTATCAGTTTTTGGTCTGTCTCCAAAAACATGGAGGGAAAACAAGCTGTTTGGCCCCTTCACATTGATATACAAGGGGTCCAGCATATTTGTGTAGGCTGACACAGAAGTCGGCATCGCAAGGGCTCCAGTGACTAAAAGCAATGGGGTTTTCCCAGTATATAGTTGGTGGCAATCACACGTTTATGATGCTTGCATTATTCATCGGGATAATCTCTACATCTTAACACCAATGTTATATTAGTTGAATAGTTGAAGCGTAAATCCAATTACCCCAAGTAAATAGCTAACGTTAGGCTTTATAGCAACTCCATGACTTCACTTTACTACCGCTAAGTTGAATGCGGCTAATGTTCGGCGCGATGACATTAAAAGTCTCATTCGCACGACTCTGTTAGAAGTTTGTCATGATTGTGATATGATTATGATTGAAGTCAACACAGATTCTGCGTTTAAAGTCCAGCTACTAAAAGATGTGGATGATGAAACTCGCGCTTGCCAAATCAGCAGATAGTGGACTATCGAACGCAACAATGGCGCACAAGAAGATAGTAAGGTCTCAAAGCTACTGCCTTCCCCTTGATATCAGGAGTGCAAATGCATTCCTTTACAATATATCAGTTGGAGTTAGCAGAGTGAACAAGACCTCCTCCTCCGCTCTGTTTCTCCCATCTGCCCATACCAGCATGAAGTTGGCTAGTTCAAGCAGGCTGTCTGGTATATTCCCATCAGCCATGTTTCTGTGAAGTGGAGCAAATTGAACCCTCTGTTAGCGGACTGGCCGCTCACCGAGGCAGCCAGCTCATCCATCTTGTTGGTCAGTGACCTCACGTTGGACATAATAGTCGAGGAAAGAAAAGTTCTCTATCCTTTCTCATCCTTTGCACCGGATCCACATCCTTCATTGGCTCCTCTGTCAGAGCTCCACCAACACATCCTGCCAATGAACACTACTTATAACCTTTGTTGACTGAATTGAGCCGACTTTGACCTAATCATTCAAACTAACTATTGAATTGAAAGGTTTGGATAGGTTGCTTCATAAGCCTGTCTAGGGGTACAAGAGCCTTTCGGAGTCTTTACTCTTCTACTAGGTATCTTCTTGGAGGACATTGTTTTTCCCTGTGCTTGTTGAACTTTATGATATCAAATGGAACTATTTAAATGATTGGCCTTCCTATCGGTAACTATAACACTGTACTGAAAAAAGTCATTGCAATTTGGAAACAAGCCAACTGTTTATTCGAAGTTACACTTATTTAAACAACGAAAATGTGGCTAATAATCCCTCATTTAGAAAAACAAAGGTAAGTACATGAGGTCAAAGTTAAAGAAAAAGGTGGTTTTGTAAACTGCATTGAAATGTAAACAAATTAATCTTACCATCCACCTTAATATTCTCATTTAAATAGCTTTAACTAAGACCCAAGAGGTAACAAAGAAAGAAATACACGTGTTCCCTACTGGATTAATTTACTAAATTGCAAAATTCTAGAGGGGTTGAATAATAAAAATAAATACATTAAAAGAAGAACAATCCTATTCAATGTGTTCATCTACAAAATGTCTATCATATGAAACCTATTTTGTTTTCTAGACACTGTGTCAGTGAGTTGCTGAAGCGACTGTGTAGTCATTGTCGTGACCATAGTCTGTGGTGTTGTAAAACTAGATTGCAGCTGTCAATAAAATCTAATGTTATCCTCACCTCTGTGACGCGGTGTCAAGATGTTCGCTTATGATTCTGAGGATTCCAACCCGTGTCTCTGGTTATAAAGCTTTTTTGTCGTTTTGCTTTTAATCCTGTTTATTAGAAGGATACATTCTTCACATACTGGCTTCTATATTTTTTCGCAGTTTCAGACACACTCCCTATTCAGATACAGAGACACACACACACACACACACACACACCTGTAAGATGGGAGGAAGGCTCCCAGATGGAGTGTCAGCATGGCGTATTGCCGCCAGGGAATGTCTCCACAGTTGAGCAACAGAAGGCCGACTGCTGCAGCAGGGTTTAAATTTAGACTCTTCGCCTGGCAGCACTCGACTCAACTCCTGTCTTCGTTTCCCTTCGCTTCTCTTTATGTTGTCTCTGGATAGGAATCAGAACAAATCTCAGAGTCCTTTTTCTGGATGTGTGTAAAGAGCACGTTGTCATTTTCCTCCTCCGCGAGGTCCTACTCCTGGTCCTGCTGCCATTTTGCACAGTACTTTGTAATACTTACAGAGCTCAGTATGTGTATGTTGGCAGGGATAGAGTGGGCACAGATGCTCAGTGGTTAACACTGTCACCTCACAGCAAGAAGGTCCTGGGTTTCAATGTAGCCCTTGATCTTTCGTTTTTGCAAAGGGTTTGGAACTTTCTACCTATATTTCTGTTGGTTTCTCCCACACCTAACGAATTGCAAGTTGAACGGCATATAAAGCACAAGTTGTACTTTGTGTGCTGTCATCTTAACTTAGAATCAGTTGCTAGAGAGTAAGGCAATAAAACACATTTTATTTTCAATAGATCCATGTCATGTGACCATGTAAATCCAAATGAAAAAAGAGAGAGAAACACATCTTTAAATTGGATTTGATTTTGTTTTTCTAATTAATGACAATACTCTATATTAAGTTTTTTACTTTTTAGCATATTTTCGAATAAAAAACAACAAGGTGGTCTAGATCAATTCAGCATTGTAATGATATGCTGTACGAGTAGAACACACCTCTTTTAAATGGATTTTAGTGTTCTTTATTTTATTTTATATGAATATTTTAGTGAAAATACAGATTAGTTTTTGCTTCAATTTTATTTGCCTGACGAGAAGGACAATCCTCATTCAAATTGGATTTTAGTATCTTTTATATTTTATATTAATAATCTATTGAAAATTCAGATTTTTTTTTCAATAGCTCTAATGTCATGTGACCAAGTCAGGTCATAGGGTTTTGCTCATTAAACATGCCATCCAAAAATGCCTGAAGGTCAACATATTATTACCTGTTTGAAATGGCCTCGAAGGCAGTGCAAATGATTAGCATTGTACCTTTCTCCTGAAACACCCTCCCTGTTGTCTCTCCAAGAACTCTGTGTCTTTCGATGTCTTTGTTGTGTTGACACGGTGAACTGAACAAATGCGGGTAATGGCGCACAGTTACAGACTGTCTCTCCTCAGGGGTGTTTATGGTGTGGCTGTTCACAAGAAAAGTAACACAAGAAATACTTGTTTGAAGAATGAGAAGGTTCAAACCTTACTCTGTCAACTCTGTACGCCTGTAAACTTTGGAAAGTGGGCGTAAGAGCAAAGTGTTTCACATGACTCGATCTGACAGGCCTTTGGTTTGAAGTGCACTGAACCCCATTTCAATAGCGTGATCTCAAAACCGTTTCCTGACCCGGGAGTACAGCTGTCCACTGCTTCCAACAACTCTAAAATGTGTTGTGGGAACCCATAGAGGAAGAAACTTGGAAAAAGAGAATCACTTGTGGTAAAAATGTGTCAAGTACAGAGATGGATTTTTTCTCATTAAGCCAATACAACGTAAACTCTACCTCTTAAGCCCTGAGCCTGTTTTTCAGGTCTCAGGCTCGAAAATGACATTCCCAGAACAAATGACTATATCTTCCCTTCTAAAAGGGGTACATTAATAATCTTTTTTCTCAAAGCAATGATAAATCTGTGAGTTGGATGCAGAAAAGTCAGAATCAATATAGATGTTTTTATTTTAAAGTAAATTCAGATTATAGTATTGATTATTCATAGTAAAAATTTTTTAATTATACACACATTTAAGTACTTATAGTGAAAACCACCCTTGAATGATGGGATAGTATACTGAAAGCTTTAGGAATCCAAACTATAACATATTATAAGTACCCTGTATCAAGATTGATGCAAAACAAGTGAAATGTGACCTTTTTAGAGAGATTTAGAAAATAAAACCCACTTCTGGGGTCATTTGGGTGCATTTTCCATATCTCTGGCCCCCCTCGGTCGATTTTGATGATTGACATCTCTTTTTAACCATTGGAGCCAATAGAATCGAGGGGAAGTTCCTAAAATCCATCTACAGTAAACATTACCCATTGGTGTATGAGTGATGCGTTGCCAGAATGCCCCGGAACCGAAAGCTGCGATACACTCTGGTGGCTTTCATTAGCAGCTAATATGAAATCTCCGTTTTTGACATAAAAATGGAATGATGGATTATCAGTAATCATTTCAAAGTGACAGACACATTGGATTAACCATTGGATTAACCTTCAGCAGCGTTTTTATCGTTTTAATGCCATTGAACACGACTTTTGATCAGAATAACAGCTAAGGTGAGACGATCTCCCGTGAATGCTACGTGTTGTGATGTCTGTGTTTGCTTCCCCTGTCGCGAGTTCTGATCGCTCAGTGTTGATACTAATACCTATAGAATCTGTGGAATCTCAGCTTTAATCTGATATCTTGTATGTGCATTTACGATAAGTAATAAGGGTATTTTTACCTTAAGTGCGTCAGCATTTTTTCGCTCAGGGCTCATTTAGACGCTTCTTGTGAGACTTGTGTTTTGTTTCGGTAAAAATGGTTCGTATTGTCAGTTAGCTGAGTTTCTTCCCGTTAAATGGGTATGACACATTAATAGGTTTTTAAATATTAAGAAGCCCTGAGACACAGTTTCGTGAAAAAACTTCCCGCAGGACCCGGATTAGGGTCCTCTCTGGTTTAACAGGTTAATAATCTACATGTATAATAATCTAGTTCTTATTTCATAGGTTTCTTTTTGACCAATTGAATAACTTGCCAAGTTCATTGCTGACATCTTCAAACATGGCAGCATTGCTAAAGAGAAATCAGAAGGATTAAGACTTCAGACTCTGCTCCAGCCTGCCTTCCTCCTCTCCTACCTGGCATGTTCTCTGCTGTCCCCAGCTAGACTGCAGCAGATCCTGACCTCTTCCCCCTGCTAAGTGCCTCACTGTAGCAGCAGCTTGTATCCTATTGTCCCTGGCTTCCAGCCCCGGCCCCTCACCTGAACCCACAGACACATTTCCACAGTTTGCATAATGCTAAACTCAGAGTTTCTGGACATTTCTGGTCAAGAGGTTTTTGTATCTCTTCCTTGAAGATTAGATTTGGGGTAATCTTATTTACCCAGGCAGTATTAAGCACCATGAAGTACCTTCAGGGCAAAAGTAAATCTACTCACACACTATACAGCAGCAATGCAGACCGGCTGACCACATCCAGCCAATTTCTGGCAATTGGTTTCAAATGAGAATAAAACCTGATCCAACTACTGCACCAGTACTGAAATGAAAGCTAGCAACAAATTACAAATGGCCTTTCAAGTATGCATAAAACATTAATGCAAATGTAACAATTAACAGTCCAGTATTTTGGATTTCTTTTTAATATAGTAAAAAAGTAACTGTAACTAAATATCTTTCAGTAATAAGCACAACCCTGGGCTTCACATTCTTGACCAAAGAGTTTAAAAAAAAAAAAGGCATTAAGAATCACATTTTCCACAATATGTCACCTTTTGAAAATCAATCTTAGCACCTGGCAATTACATCCTAATGGGGAAGGAAAGACTAAATGCCTAATATATTTAAATAATCAATTGTCAGATGTGTGCAATCATAAACTTTTATTTTCCTTCATGTTCTCTTTGCTTCATCATACTGCTACGGCGCAGCTTCTCCTCAGGGTTTTAATGAAATAAAATGTACTCTTGCTTTCATTTCCTTTTGTGTCTTTGCTCTTGGCCTCATGTCCTGTCGCTCTCTGCCTCTCTTCCTATTTTTCCTGACTCAAGCTGGGTTTCATCACCAGTCATCTGTGACTCAGGAACTTTCCATGAGTCATGACACGCAGCAACCCGAAACACTCTGCGTGACTCCTGTGCAATCTGCACCCTGGCACACTCTCAACTCTGCTCATGATTGCTCAGTTTACACTCTGATACATCACTGCATTAGCACAAACATAAGTGCAGTGATATGAGTGTTGTGAAGAAAGCTTGTTTTTTTTAACACTCATACAGTATGTGTCCTATAGTTAACCTCTCAAGCTATTTACATTGACTATATCATTGAATACACTAATGCAGCAATCCTATTAAAATACATAGATTTGTCTTAAATGTCTCTCGTATGAATGTTCAAAAAAGGGTAAAATAGTTGTTCAAAAATACCCTTTATGTCGCTCTTGGAGGGAAACACTTCAGCCCTCTTGATACAGCAAGAAAATCTCAAAGTTCTTGGATACCTATAATGACAGACCATACAAAAGCACAAGCCCAAGAAGAGAGATTATTCCAGTGGTTTCCTGCTGCTGTACAGAAATATCTGAATCCACTATCATGTCTGACAACAGACGTTTTTGATTAAACAATAATGGTGAAGAGATGCGGACAACTGAAGTTCCTGAGAACAGATTCCATAACCCTATCTCCTACAAATTCAGCGCTGCAGGAATGAGCACTAACTCCGTTGAGTTAGCATTTTAGCACTTTGGGGCTCCCTCATCTGGAAGTCAATGTTTTTCTTTAAATTAATGGTTGGTTAAATGCCCGAAAAAAGATCTTTGGTTCATACAAGCTTACGAGAGTTTTGTCCTCCCACCTAAAAATGTGCCACTGATGATTATATGAAGCATTTTCGTGTCTCAACAATTTGGTTGTTGGTGTACAACAAATTCGGTATTGTAATTAACATTAGGAGGAAATGTTTTGTAACATGGCAAAATGTTCCCTGCCAACATAAAATATTCATAACTCTGTTAATTATGTGTTTGCTCATTCCTCTCTTCAATTTCATTTCTCAATGTTCCAGGTTCACATCACCATTATGGACAACAACGACAACACTCCCATATTCTCCCAACCGACCTATGATGTCACTATTTCTGAAGACACGCCCCCTGACACTGAAGTGGTCCAGGTTCTGGCGTCGGACCGGGATGAGCATCACCAGCTGACCTACTCTCTGCAGAGCTCCATAGACCCCAGTAGCATGCGTCTGTTCCGCATCCACCCCAGCCTCGGTACTATCTACACCACCCAGAGGCTGGACCACGAGGCCTGCGCCCAGCACATCCTGACTGTCCTTGTAAGTGTTTGCCATTTACTTTTATTTAGGATCTCATGATAACAGCTGTGACTCTTTGAGCCATATTTTCCACTGAGAGGATCCAGTCTTGTCTGCATGCTTGTGTCAATAGAAATATGTTCTTATTTTAAGGTCATTCAGTCCTTGTTTAATTTATCATGCTGGTGGTTCCCAGACTATTTTGAGCAGCAGGCAATTAAAGGTACAAGCTGCAAGCTGTAATTATTTGTTTTGCTGCAGAATAGAGGTATGTTGGTACACAGAACTCATGATTTGATATTTATTTCCTTGGGCTCACAATTGAAATTTGTAGCAGTCAAAACAAACTTGAGGCATGAAATCAAACTTACATTTAAAAAGTATGTTTTGCATGTTCCAACATGTAGTCCTAATTGTATTGTAATTCAACAATATAAATATCAAGACATGGATGACTGAACTGAAGCAAGTTGCGTACTAAACTGAAGATCTTGGAGATCCAATGACCACACGGTTCGATGTTGTTATAATACTTGTATGATATTCAATACAGTATGTAAAGTTGACTCTTTAAACCTTAGTTCTTTCAATGGGCTTGAATTTGAGTAAAACAGCCAAAAGACACCAGTTCTGAAGCACTAAAGCACTTCTAGTTGGACCTGATACACTAACCCTACACCAGAATGGGGATCTGTTTTATTGACAAATATCTGGAGAGTGCAGTGATTTTTTTTATGTTTTACTATGGTGATGGAGAACACATTTTGATTTTCTTGCAACTTCAATAACCAAGGCCACGGGTCTGTGGTTATTATACTCTTATTAGTTATAAGTCTTGAGTGGATAGGACAAGAGAAGCGCTTTGAAAGAAGAAATTGTGTCTCATATGTAGAGCAGCGGGCGAGCCAGAAGCAATCTATAAGTCTGTGCTATCATTATATTTGAACTCATACATTTGCACGGAAGCTAATTAGCATGCGGTAGCAGTATGATTAGGCCTGCAAGATATTGGGAGAACTGAAATTGCAAACTGTTTTTCTGCAGTTTATATTGCATAATGGAAAAAAATAGGAATATTATTTTGAGGTTAAACGCATTCATCTTTAGTAAGGTTTACAGGGCTATTGCAAAGGTGCAGATTTCACTGTCAAAGCTAAAAGAATATATCTTTCAGCCCTAATCTACATGAATCAAAGGACAGGAGATTGGATACGTTTATACTGATTTGCTTATCAAACAGTAAGCCAACATTTTTAACAATGTGACATTTTGGGAAATGCATGTGGCAAAGGAAAATGTAATAGCGAAGGTTCTGGTGTTGTGATATTTTCAATGTTGTTTTTGTGTTTGTTTCATTTTGGACAATGATGTCACTGTGCACATTTGAAATTCTTAAGTTACATGATAATCAGATGGTACACTCTGTAGTGACCTCAAAGGATGCCTTTTTTTCTTTTTTTAATTCACAGGTAAAGGACCAAGAGTTCCCATACAGAAAGAACCTGGCTCGTGTGCTAGTAGAAGTGGAAGATATCAATGACCATGTACCAATCTTTACCAGTGCGCTTTATGAAGGCTCAGTCTACGAGTCAGCAGCAGTGGGATCAGCTGTGGTTCAGATTACAGCCCTGGACAAAGACAAGGGCGAGAATGCAGAGCTACACTACTCCATTGAAGCAGGTACGCACCTCTGAAAGCAAAATACTTGCTCTTGTACTTTGATTTTTTTGTAATACTTTTTAAATAATTACCCTACCTATTAACCACTACATTGATACAACTGTTTTTGATTTTCCAACAGGAAACACTGGAAATGCTTTCCATATTGAACCAGTTCTGGGCATAATCACTGTTGCACGGGACTTGGACTTGTCCAGCATAGGCCATTATGTTCTTACCATCAGAGTCACTGACAATGGCTCTCCTCCCCTGTCCACCACCACTATAGTGCGCATAGCTGTCACTCTCTCTGATAATGCCGGACCAAAGTTCCCCCAGCCTGAATACCATGCTGAAATCACAGAAAACGCTGTGGTTGGGACCTCTGTCAACACAGTCAGTGCAGTCAGCCAGTCCACCCTCACTTATGACATAAAGAAGGGCAACGCAGATCGTGTCTTTCAGATAAATCAGTACAGTGGAGTGATTACTACTCAAAAGACTCTAGACTATGAGACTACAGCATCTTACACCTTGATAGTCCAGGCTACAAACATGGCTGGCATGGCCTCCAATGCTACTCTGTTGATCCAGGTAGTGGATGAGAATGATAACCCACCAGTTTTCCAGCAGCTTCACTATCATGGCAGCATCAGCGAGGCAGCACCAGTCAACAGCGTGGTCCTGAACTCAGACGATTCACCTCTCGTAATTAAGGCCACTGATACTGACCACAACCAAAATGCGCTTTTGGTCTACCAGATTGTCGAGGACACTGCAAAAATGTTCTTCACAGTGGATTCTGGGACTGGGTCCATCAGAACAATCGCTAATCTAGACCATGAGACATTTGCCACCTTCCACTTCCATGTCCATGTGAGGGACAATGGCAGGCCACAGTTGACAGCAGACAGTCCAACAGAGGTCACAATACAAGTCATTGACACAAATGATTCACCACCTCGCTTTACCCAGAATGCCTATGAGACAGTACTGTTACTTCCCACCTATGTGGGAGTGGAAGCTCTGCAGGTTTCAGCCATAGACCCAGACAAAGATGTCCCTTCAGAGCTCACCTACTCTCTGACTGATGGCGTGCTGGAGCACTTTGCCATCAAACCTTCCAGTGGAGTCATCACAGTCAAAAACAACAACTTCTCCAAAGAACGTTTTCGCTTCAGTGTCAAAGTTTCCGATGGGACATTTTCCAGCACATCTTTAGTTACCATTCTGGTCCGAGAGGCTCTGGACTCTGGTCTCAGCTTCTCTCAGAGCCTTTACTCTTCATCTATTCAAGAGAATGAATCTAATATCACCAAAGTGGCTGTTGTCAACGCTGTGGGAAACCGTCTAAACGAACCATTGAAGTACACCTTGTTAAATGCTGGGACAAGTTTCATAATTCGTCCAACTTCTGGTGTGATCCAAACCACAGGTATACCCTTTGACCGTGAAGAACAAGAGTTCTATGAACTGGTCGTTGAGGCCAGAAGGGAGCACGACCGTCTGCACGTGGCAAGGGTTATGGTCAGAGTCCAAGTTGAGGACATAAATGATAATTCCCCTGTGTTTGTTGGACTTCCTTATTATGCAGCTGTTCAAGTAGAAGCTGAGCCAGGATCACCCATTTTCAGGGTCATGGCGGTAGATGGGGACAAAGGCATTAATGGAGAGGTGTCTTACTATCTAAAGGACAGCCATGGTCACTTTGATATCAACCAGCTGACAGGTGGTCTAAGCCTCAAGAGGGCTTTTGAGTCTGACCTGTCTAATATGGAATATCAGATGGTGATATATGCCAGAGATGGTGGTTATCCACCCCTCTCATCTACCATAGAGTTCCCCATCACAGTTGTCAACAAAGCCATGCCTGTCTTTGACAAACCATTTTATTCTGTTTCTGTGAACGAGGATGTTGCTGTGCAGACACCTATTCTCGGCATCAATGCAACTAGTCCTGAAGGTCAAAGCATCATCTACACCATAGTTGATGGAGACCCATCTTTACAGTTTGACATTGGTTTTGATACTGGAGTCATAAGCGTCATCCACTCTTTGGACTACGAAGCAGCATCGTTTTATCATCTGACCATCAGAGCCACAGATTATCTGACCGGTGCCCGTGCTGAGGTGGCTGTAAATGTGGTTGTCCAGGATGTAAACGATAACCTACCAATCTTCCAAAAAATGTCCTACAGGGTCATTTTGTCGGAAACAGCCATGATTGGAACTCCAGCACTTCAAGTTATTGCCGCTGACAAAGACTCAGATAAAAACAATGCTGTTCGTTACCAGATCTTCTCAGATGTGCACAACAGAACAGACTACTTTCATATTGATAGCAGCAGTGGATTAATCCTGACAGCGCGTATGCTGGACCATGAACTCGTCCAGAAGTATGACTTCATTGTCAGGGCCACTGATAATGGCTTCCCCCCATTGAGTAGTGAAGTATCAGTCATAGTTGTAGTTAATGACATGAACGACAATCCACCCGTTTTCAATCAGCTACTCTATGAGGCATATGTGAATGAGTTAGCACCCAGGGGTCACTTTGTAACCTGTGTCCAGGCCTCAGATGCCGACAGCTCTGATTTTGACAAGTTGGAATACAGCATTTTGTCAGGAAATGAAAGAATGAACTTTATGATGGACAAAAAAACAGGAGTCATCACATTGTCCAGCCACCTTAAGCAAAGAATGGAGCCTGCCTACAGCCTCAACGTTTCAGTGTCTGATGGGGTGTTCACCAGCACCGCACAGGTTCATGTCAAGGTGTTGGGGGCCAACCTGTTTAGTCCTGTGTTTGGACAGAACATGTACGAGGCAGAGTTAAGAGAAAATTCTGCTGTGGGAACCAAAGTTATACAAGTAAGTGTTATTGAAATTATTTTAGACATTTTATTTTCAATTGTATAGTGGAACAATACTAACATATAAGTGTAATTCTAAAATACTCATCTCTGCATTGACTTTTTCATTGCAGGTAAAGGCAACAGACGCAGATCCTGGAGTGTTTGGTCACATCACTTTTTCATTTGTAAATGATGTGGGAAACGACCAATTTAACATTGATGCAAATGGCCAGATCACCACTGTAGAAAAGCTTGACCGTGAGGACCCAGCCAATAAGGACATTGTTTTGACAGTGGCAGCCCAGGACTCAGGAGGACGTGTCTCTTACTGTACAGTACACGTTACTCTGTTGGATGATAATGATAATGTTCCTCGCTTCCGTGCTACCGAGTACCGAGCTTCAGTGAAATCTAATGTAGCTAAAGGGTTTATGGTGACACAAATTCAGGCTTATGATTCTGATGATGGCACGAATGCCAAAGTAACATATTCACTTTACAGTGAGGCCCATGTCCCTGTGGTAGACATTTTGGAGATAGACCCAGACAATGGATGGATGGTGACTAAAGGCAGCTTCAGCCACTTGAGGAACTCCGTTTTATCTTTTTTTGTGAAGGCAGTTGATGGAGGTAATCCAGTACGGCACTCTTTAGTGTCTGTCTACATCCATGTTCTTTCTCCAGAGGCCTTCATTCCTTCCTTTAGCCAACATCAATACTTATTTAGCCTACCAGAGGACACCCCCATAGGTTCAGCCATAGGGACGGTGCACCTTAACACTTCTCCTGGACATGCCTTGCTCTCAGCTACCTTTGCCCTGGTCAACGGAGAGACAGGCGAAAACAACCAAGATGGGATGTTTGTGGTGGAAAAGGATACAGGTGTGATCAAGCTTGATAAACCCTTGGACCATGAGGTGATAAAAGGTTACCATTTCAAAGTCACTGCCATTGTACAACAGGCTAAGCTGGATTCTGTCACTTCTGTTGATATTGAAATCAAAGTCTTAGATCTAAATGACAACAAACCAGCTTTTGAAGCCAATTCATATGAGGCCACAGTTATGGAGGGAATGACAATTGGAACCAGAATCATTCAAGTCCAAGCATTAGACCCAGACTCAGGGGCAAATGGCCAGGTAACATATAGTCTTGGGACATTAATCCAGTCAGAAGCGGAATCAGACGCATTGGTTGGAACCTTTAGCATTGACAGTAACACAGGCTGGATCTCCACACGCAAGGACCTGGACCACGAGACGAATCCATCCTACACATTCACAGTGATTGCCTCTGACCTTGGGGAGACCTTATCTCTTTCCAGTACAATCACTGTGACCGTAGCAGTATCAGACATCAATGACAATCCGCCCATGTTCCTGGAGCAACGCTACTTTGGTTCAGTTCAGGAGAGCGACCCGCCAGGCCAGGTGGTGGCTGTGCTGAACACCAGAGATGATGACAGCTCTGCTGTTAACCGTCAAGTCAGCTACCACATCACTGGTGAGTACCAATGCCTAAATGTCTGTCATTGCATTGAAAGCATATGAGCAGACAAAGATGTTGATATTTAATGATTCTACATATCCCAGGATCATACCTCATTAAGTGTTTGTTTTTATTTTTATCCCATCTAAGGCCATTGTTTTGGTTTGTTACTTCTTACTTTCCACATTATCTTTGCATGATCCTTTTGTGTAGTTAACATTAGGAACAGTTTGTTTTTAAGTAAACGTTTGTTAAAGTGTGGTTGGTTAAGGTTAGAAAGGTTGAATGCTAATTGCAGTTCATTGAAGCAATAAAAACCTGATTTAGTTAAGAAACTCTGACCCTGTAAATACGCCTCCTTCACCCAGAACGCCACAACCTTCATTTAGGATTTAGGCACATGACAGGCGGGTGCAAAAGCATCCAACACGGACTGAATTTGTTGGGATACTGGGCTGTGTATCGTGGCTCATCTGTCTGCAATCTAAAATGGCTGAATTGTGTTTTCTTGCTGTCTTGGCCAAGTGGTTTACCCAAGCTACAGTATCAGACTTGTTGAGTGAGAAACAGGAAATATGTGATGATATTTTCATGGCGTATTAGCATTAAACAGCCTGTGACATTTACCCAGTTGCAGTTCTCTAGAGTCAATGAAGTAGTAAATAGAGTAGATTTAAAAACTGCAGCACATGTAATGAAAGCTGCTTTAACCATGTTGAATTTTATCTTTTGCATTTTGAATAGATATGGAGATCAGTTGTTTTACATACAGACACACAGAAGTAATAAAAGAGCAGGTAAATTGTGAAAATGCAGTAATAATCTGGAAAGTGATCAAAAGACTGCCTTAGTTAATTTGCTGGCTGCTCATTGACATGCCAGGCAGCTTTAATGGAGTGAGGCCTTCCCAGGAGACTAAGACAGAGGACTACCTTGCCAACAGGAGATAGAGAGCTAATGAATGATTTTTAATAGGAAGGAATCCTTCCCCTAATGGCATTGTAATAAGTATCAGACAGACAGCTCTAGTGAATGATAGACATGTGAGTGATGTGACCTTATAGATGATAGCTAAAGAGGAGGGAGGCAAGGAGGAATGAGCTGCTCTGAAGTGCAGGGAGAGAAAGAAATGGTGTATATATATATATAAATATATATATAGATAACAGATATGTCCGTAAAACTAAGCGAATAAGCCTTCAAAGAATACTGACGAACGTGACCTTTTTTACTTTAAAGAGAGTACCAATTCATGTTCTTCAATATTAGAGTGCCAAAGCAAATCAAGACAGAATGTAGAGACACACTCATATTTGCTATGAAACGAATGCCTCATTCTCAGTTTCATTTATAGTGATAATGATACTGACAGATGGGAATATATTTGATTTGAATTTTGCAATCACCTGCTCTCTTTTCACAGTGTTATACATTACGCTAGATTTATTATGGGCTCAGCAGTTCCCTTGGTGATTTCACACCTTCATGGAAATCAAGAAAGTGTGAAAGACAGACAAAATCCCATTGCTTGGTACGGAGGTTGCACTTTAGGACAACATTAATATTTTTATATTACTCTTTTTATTTAACAAATTAGGAATATTGTAAACACTGCTGGTATACACTGCTCTAAGTGTTAGCATGTTTGATCTGTTTCCATTCACCATACAACAGTGGAACAATGCAAACACACCCTTTTAGTCTCATACACAACCATTTATATTTCTGTTGTAGCTGACCAGGAACCTGCCAACAGTTTTTCAAGCTTTTGCCCTCGCCATAGTGTCACTGATTCAAATGCCAATTAGCCTGCTGTGCTAACATTAGCATATTATGCTAGCACTGTGCAGGTAAAAGTTTCCCTGCGGAACTTCACTTGTGGTTTTTGGTTTTGCATTATGTAAATCAATCTTAGTTGTTTGTATGTACATACACAATTCAGCATTTAACCATCCACACACATTCATACAGAGGCAGAGACATTCACACACCGTTGGTCATGCCATCTGGAGCAATTTGGGTTAAGTATCATGCCTAGGGACACATTGACACGTTTACTGCAGGTCAGGCTGGGAATCACAACACCATCACGACTGGTAGACGACCACATTCACCCTCACAGCCACAGCTGCCCCAGCGTAATGTGATGATATCACATATGCCACAGCAACCCAGTCTCACAGCATTTCGTGTTATAGTCATGAAATTAATTTAATCTATTGATTCGTGTTCACCAACACGATTTTCGCATTTTTTTTCGTGTCACACAGAACGATTTTAAATGCAATGTATTTCTATTGGTAGTGTGTTTCGTGCCTGCACCACGTCTTTTTGTCCGGTCGGGTCTTGGAATACCAGAAGCTGTGTGGTTCATAAAAACATTTTCTTACTCAATATCTTACCCTAAGCCTAACCCTTTTATTTTAAATTGTATAATGTCGGAATTTGTTTGCCGTCCGCGAGGAAAATAAATGTGGCAAAGATTCTCAAAATACTGAAATCTGTATTTTTTGTCATCTTTTTTTCCTTCTAATTTGTTATTATTTACATTGCTTTTAAAATCGTTCTGTGTGACACGAAAATAATTGTGAAATCGTGTTGGTGAACACAAATCAATAGATTAATTTTGTGACTATAACACGAAATGCTGTGAGACTGTGTTGGCCACAGAGAGGATTAGATACTAACAGCACACAGCTGTGTATTCGGGTTCTCTTTCACACCTGTGGTTGTCAGGCTTAAAGAAGAAAAAGAAACATGGTTTCCTTTTTGCTCTAGCCTTGCAAACAAACCAATGGGAAAGAACAAGCTTTAATATGGATTAGGAGGTCGTTTTTCACTTGATTTCATTAAGCCTTTAAAATCCTTTATAGTCTGTCAAACAAATGTGACCGTCAGTTGATCATCTTTTTAATTGCCACTGTAATAGATATACAACACTTTGTTTTTTCACTGTTCACACTCTTCTTTCTTAACCCATTGGTCTGTGAGAGAGGACAGAGCTGCCTAGAGATCGATGTGTGGAGGATTGTGCTTCTTCGGCTTGACAGTCCAGTTAAATGGGTCAGCAGCCCCCAGTGCTCCTATAAATCCTCAGTTTTATTGTCTAACCTTTATCCACTGCTGCAACATTCATTTCCCTGTACTGTTCACATAAAGCAGCCACTATTATTAATTGCATAAAATATGTTTTTTTTTACTTCAAGAGTGCAGTGGGTCAACACATTGTCTCTACAGTTAATGTTTGTACTTTAATATTGGCTTTATGTGAAGCCATTTGCCTAGTTTACCTATAGGTGTGTTTAGAATAAGAGAAACACCATAGGCCTGCAATACAACAGAGGTGTGGCCTGAAGCCACATGACTTGGACTTGAGTGATGACTCATTACTTCACCAATTTGTATAAAGCCTTGTGATAAACTCCATGTTGACAGTCATACCTGAAATGTTTTCACTGATCCTGTGTTTGTGTGCTCTTGTGCATGATCTCCAGGTGGAAACTATCGTGGTGTGTTTGCACTGGGTCTGGTTCAGGGTGAATGGAAGATGTATGTGAAGTGGCCCCTGGACAGGGAGGAACGCAACCTCTACATCATCAATGTCACTGCTAGCGATGGACTCTTTGTTTCCCAGGCAACGGTGGAGGTGACAGTGATAGACACCAATGACAATAGCCCCATCTGTAACCAGGTGAGGAATAAATTACCATTCAGTCGAATTACAAGGATGGTTAAAGACAGTGGCATGGGGCAGGAAGCTTGAGATGCTTTGCCAGTGTCCCACATTTGTTTTACTTAGCTAATTGTAAGTGTGTGTGTGTGTGTGTGTGTGTGTGTGTGTGTGTGTGTGTGTGTGTGTGTGTGTGTGTGTGTGTGTGTGTGTGTGTGTGTGTGTGTGTGTGTAGGCTGTATACACTGCCTCTGTTCCAGAAGACCTCCCAGTCAACAGTGTGCTGCTGAAGGTTGGGGCTACAGATGCAGATGTAGGCATCAGTTCCTGGATCCAGTACTCCTTACATGGTCCTGGATCCCAGGACTTCATCATGGACCCAGACACCGGTACTAAGCATGGCTTTGAAAACATACCCATACTTTTATTTTGGAACAACACTTAATACATAGTCTTTCTTACACTGAACTTGCATCAGTTGTAACTAGCCTCAGTCCGATATTGAGTTAAAAGGGATAATATGCATGACTTCAGGGTAATTCAAGAATCATCAACACGTCGGTTTTTCTTTCGCTAATTACTAAATAAAGCAATAATGTTGATATAAACAAGATTTTAATGATTTCAAAATAACGCAAAGCATCGGCTGGAACTGCAGCAATCGTGATGTAACTTAACAACACTAATCGAGGTCTTCTCCCTCGTACCTGCCCAAGTTTGTTCACATTTTCTTTTCCATTAACCAGCCTTTAAACTATCCCTAGCAACAGTTTGCTATCAAAAGAGAGCAGATCACTAGTTCAGAATCGAGTTTTCAACTAAGCTGCCGTGTAATAACCTTAAATAAGAATAATAATATTACGTTGCTTACACAGTTAACCACACATGTTATCTGTGGTGCAATTGTGTTGCACACTGTCATGGCTCTAAATGTGTCACCGGTTGTTTCTAACCTGTCTAGGTGAGGTCAAGTCATCTACGACTCTCGACCATGAGATGACACCCTACTACCGGCTTGTTGCCCAGGCAACTGATGGTGGTGGGCGATGGTGCCGTGCTGAGGTGCATCTGGACGTTACTGATGTGAATGACAACCCGCCCATCTTTACGTCGACACACTACACCGCCAGCGTGTACGAAGATACCGCCCCCAAAGCCCTGCTCACCCGCATCCAGGCCATAGACCCTGATGAAGGTGATACTGTTGTACTACTGCTTCAAATGCTACTATGCTTTTTAATAAAAAGAAATAAACCCTTGCATTAATCTTGAAGAGCAGATGTCAAATGAGGAAGATACAATTTAAAAGTTATTAATGATGGAAGCAAAAGCAGAGGCAGGTACAAAGACAAAGAGCCTAGAGGAGTAAAAAGTCAAACAAATGAACAAGGAACAGAGAAATAGGTGAAAATAAATACCTAAAATACAGTTCAAGTTAACCGTATATTGTATGACAACTCTGTGTCTGTGTAGTCTTGACTAAATTAAATTCACAAATGGGAACAACCAAGGGTTGCACTTGGTTGTTCACAGGAAATTTGACAGAGATAGGTGTGGGAGGAATGAAAAAAGCGAGCCTAACACAGAAGTTCAAAACACAGACTAAAATCACTACGATTGTGTGGGATTGTCATATTTTCTTTGTGTGCGGTAGAGACATTTGGGATTTTAGCCTTTGTAGACCTTATTCATGGACAAAAACCTATTCAACACACTGCGGGAAAGCAAAAATCCCAAAAGCAGAATAGTCCCCCTTCAATTCTTACTGTACTGACATTCCTCCTCTGGCTCTGCAGCAGGTCCCGGTCGTATGGTGGCGTACTCCCTGTCTGAGTCTGCAGGAGGCTCCTTCTCTATCGATAAGTCCTCTGGCATTGTGGTCCTTGAACGCATTTTGGACCGGGAGGTTCAACCAGCCTATCAGATAGTAGTCCACGCGTCTGACCAGGGTTCACCACTGCCCCTCTCCTCATTGGTCAACGTCACCATCACTGTGCTGGACATCAACGACAACCCGCCTGTGTTTGAGCGCCGTGATCAGCTGGCAACAGTGCCCGAGGACGTGGGAGTGGGGACGGAGGTTCTGAGGGTCTACGCTGCCAGCAAGGACATCGGGACCAACGCTGAGATCACTTACAGTATCCGATCAGGCAACGAGCACGGGAAGTTCCACATCCACCCACTCACTGGTCAGTATGCTAAACATATCTCTGCAGTAGTAATCCCATTTTTGTTTATTCTTAATGTTCTTTTCCACATTTCACTGCTTTTTTCATATTGTCATGAACACTGCAATCTGTCCATTTTAGAATTGAAGAAAGTGAAATGGTCATTCACAAATGAGATTCATTCAAGTTGCTTATTAAACCTATGATTTATTAATCGTTGGGCGTTTAAGTCTAAATACAGTTTATTCTCTGTTTCCTGAAGTTTGATGCAAGCATCTGGGAATATTTGAAATAATGAAACTGGTTAAAGTCCAAGTGTGCAAGTATGTGGTGGTTTTAGAACTGTCTTTACTTCATCCAAAGCTTATCCTTTCAGTATTTTCAAAATAGAGATCCATGTGTTCATGACGCAAACTGCTAATCACTTCTCTGGGGTCACAAAGAACAGCTGTTGGCATCAGTCTTTAATTGTCAGATGACTTCAGGATCATAAAATACAGATTATATTAATGTCTCTGTTCGCGGCTTGTTTATGTGGATGATGTGGAAGTCATACCCAACCCATCAAACTGTAAGAACACTGAAGGAGTGTCAGTGTGATCTTCACGGGTAGCAGGTTTATGGCAGGGGTGTTAAAACTCAAATACACAGTGGGCCAAAATAAAAAAATGGGTACTAGTCGAGGGCCGGACTGAATGAACTTATTGCACATATTAAACCTGGAACTAACAAAGCTTAAATGATTGCCTATAAAAACAACATTAAACATTAAATAATCAGTTGCATTCATTTCTTATGGCTCTATCTGCAGCTTTTCCAGAGTCATTTCTTATGATTACATTTTTCCACAGGCCAACAACAGCTTCAACAAAACTATTTCCCTCAAAGAAAAAAACAAACATGCCCAAGAAAAAAAGTGCAGAAGGAAACATCCATGTAAACTCAGCTTGCTGCTCTGTGATGCTAGTTCAAGCCAGATACTTGGCATCTCATCTTGGGTGCAAGTTCATCAATGTTTGGGGTCAGGCTCTGAGCGGAGGAGATCCTCAGGATTGAGTGAAGGTGTGCGTGCAATATACCGGCGGGCCAGATCTAATAGTAATTAGAAATTATTATTAAATCCACCAAGGGCCTGATTTGGCCCCCGGGCCTTGAGTTTGACACATGTGCTCTATGGCAAAGAAAGAACCCCCACTTAAATCCTGGAGTTATTTTCAGTAAAATGGTTTATTGAACTACAAAACATATCGTACACTAACGAAAGGGCTAGCAAAAACTGTAGACCATCTTTCGATAGGATCAAATCGCCTTCTTCTGGCATCCTTCATCAGACCACACCCATCTTTCAACTCAGCCTTCATAGATTGGTGCAGGAATAATCCCTAAAAACCAATGAGTCAGCATTTTAGCACAGCCGGATTATCTGTCTCGGCGCATTTCCACCATGGCGCGGTTTAAGCGTGCCGTGCCGTGCCGGGCCCGTTTTTGGTTGCGTTTCCACTATGTCGTGATTTAATTGTAATACACGTTTCAAAATGATGCCGAAGTAACAACATACTGATACTGGTTAGTAAAAACCATGAATTAATGCTGTGACGAGTCTGCAGACAGACGGCAGGGGAAAAACCTTTTAAACTGCGCGTTGTCTAAATGGAGATTGGCTAAGCTAACGCAGTATATGCTCCGACCGTCCACACTCACAACAACGGCCTATACAGACATAAATAAACCAGCGACTGCACTCGCCATGACACAGGCAGTCTGTGGTTTGTACTTGTTTAACTTTTGTCTAGTTTCTGAACATATATGAGGAGCTGTGAGCTCTGAGGGCTAACAGCTAACGGCTGATGTTGGTTTTCTGGGGTTCTCTGAAGATCACGTCACGGCTCCGCTTACACTGCGTTACTATAGATACTACCCCAGTTCCTAAACTGTAATGGAAGCGCAGCATAAAGTGAGCCAGTCCTAACAAGGCATAACGAGGCCTAGCCATACCGAGCGAGGCCGAGCGAGGCTGTGTAGTGGAAATGCGCCATAAGTCGTTATGTTTTGTTTTACGAAATGAAATACGTAGAAAATACTTTTTTGATGCCCAATCTGGCCAGCGGCGTAACATGTTGGAGCCAATAGCCCACCTAGTTAAGACCATCCTCATGTTCCAGCTGGGCCACAGTAGTGGTGGTCAGAAACTCCTGTTCTTTAATATCCTTCGAGCCCTGTGCTGATAACTCTTCTAACCGATCACTGTTTCGTTGGTACTGATAATGTTCTAGGGTTTGGTTTAAATCCCTCGCTGCCTGTCTGGAAGCTTTCTATTGCTCCTCATTCAATGTTAATAAGAACTTCACTGAGCCATTTTGCCTTTCTCAAGTTGCCATGAGAAACACAGGCATTTCAGCTTTTTCGGTATTGGTTAGGAAGACTTTTCAGACTTCATTACTGGAATGATCTGCCAAAAGGAAGAGACAAAATGTGTTGATGACAAGTATCTTAAATCCGGTGGTGATCGCAGAGGGGGTTTGCGCTCATTAGAGTGCTGAGCGTCAAAGAATACTTGACTTTCTTGGGAGAGCAATGACAGGGTCTTTTTTTGTTTCTCATCTTGGATTTATATTTGACTTTAGCTTTCCCTTGAGAGATTTAATGTGAACAAGTCAATGCTTTAGTGTGCCCCACAACTCATAAAGGTCTGTCAGTTTCGCGAAAAAGAAAGTGGATCTTTATAGGTTTAATATTAATGTCATCTCTCTGCAGAGCGTATATCTTTTTTCTTTTGCCTTCGGCAGCTTTAACCTTTTTGCATCTTAACAGAAAGGAGAACTTCACTAAGATGTAAGATGTCATATTAAGTAAGGCCATAATGTCATTCAAGTTCAGCCTTAAACGTTTCAAACCTTTTCTAGGAATGTGTGAATTGGAATGAAACAAGTTGACTGTCTATTTTTGTATTCATGTAGCATAGGATCTCCAGTCCATGACTAACCATAGTTAGCTTCCACACTTATTAAGTTATCACCAAAACACCAGACAGCTTTTCTGTACAGAGAGCTGAATAATCTAAATGGTCTTTGTGCAAAACCAGGGTTAATCATGTACCTCTCTTTTAGAATAATACTGGGAAAAGGAGGCTGCTGGAAGTTCAGACTGATGTTGTATAATACAGAAGGTTTATTGAAAAGCTTGACAAAGAAAAACAGAAGATGAACAACACAAGCTAACACAAGAATGCATTAACATTGAATGCCACCATCAAATCTGCAAAAGTCTCCTTGCGTCTGCGTAACTGATTCTTACCCCTAGATTCCACCAGGTCCGTCTGCGCCGCGTTACGGCTGCGCCGCGGTTTTGGTCCGGCCTCCTCCGGCGTCATACCCTACCAGGCGCGTTTCAGAAGCCTTTCAGAAGCGGAGAGTCTTGCCTGCCGGCTCGCAGTTTTTGTTGATTTGGGCATATTTCCTGGACAGGCTACTTTGTACAGACAAAGTTAATAATAACTGTAATATTCCAGTTATAAACGACATGAATCAAAGATGTGTTGCTGTATTTTAGTGGTAAAAAAAATGCATTCATCATCATAATTATTCTATATGTATAATTTACACAGTGCCTGTAAACCGGAGGAGAACGCTGGCATTTCTCCTCCTACTTGAAAGACTACGGAGGGATAGGGTCTGCACAATTAGTTTGTGTGTGTGTATATATATAGGTCTATATAGCTCTGAACGTTCCACTTCCTGCCTGCCCGACCTTACGTTACGGCTGCGCCGCGACAAAAATAGGATTCGATCCTAATTTTAGAAAAGCCCTGCGCCGAGCCGCTTCTGGGACGCGTCTGAGCCGTAACGCGCCGCGTGTGGTGGAATAGCACCCGTTGACTAGAGTGGCCGCGATCACCTTGAGCACCGCGGCACAGCCGTAACGCGTCCGTAACGCGTCCGTAACGCGTCCGTAACGCGTCCGTAACGCGTCCGTAACGCGCCGCAGACGGACCCGGTGGAATCTAGGGGTAAGACTGGTCATAAACCTAACTACCTCTAATGAAACATGGCTAGATTAAAAAAAAACAAAAGCACAACTTAAAGATTGAGATACTCCAAAAGTAAAAAAGCGTTCTAACTGACTGGTTTTTGACTAACGTAGGAGCTGAGCCTAATACTTAACCTGTTAAGCCCCAAAGCCCTCCGTCGGCGGGTCTTTTTTTAATTTTTTTTTATTTTAATCTTTGGATGGAATGAATACCTATGGTGATAATGCAATGTAATACATCATTTTTATAGTCTGGTACCTGAAAAAGGTCAAATGGCACTGATGGAACCAGATGTACCCAAATGTGCCGAAAGCTTATTCCGCCTGGAACTTATTTTTGCTAAATCTCTCTAAAAAGGACAAATTTAACTTGTTTTGCCTCAATCTTGATACAGGGTACTTATTATATGTTATAGTTTGGATTCCTAAAGCTTTTAGTCTACCATCCCATCATTCAAGGGTGGTTTTCACTATAAGTAATGTTTTTTCTTTAGGCGGAGGTAAGAATTTACCTTTTTTTACTATGTTCCATCTGAATTTACTCTGACTGAGAAAAATCTATATTGATTCTGACACTTCTACATCCAACTCACATATGTAACCTTGCTTTGATAAAAGAAAGTATTCATATAACCCTTTTAGAAGTGAAGTTGTAGTCATTTGTTTTGGGCATGTCATTTTCGAGCCTGAAACCTGAAAAACAGGCTCGGGGCTTAACAGGTTAAGCTACCGAGGTGTTTTAACTCGCGGGAGTCACCATGTGAATAACATACCGTTTCTTGTGTGTCTTCAATGAAGAATCGGCAGGCTCATTTGCGGTTGTAGCATAATGCAATCCATTTATTTTCTCATCATGTATAGCATATCAGTTAAAGGGGCTCGATTAAGCTTTTTGGTGTCTTCCCTTTCCTATAGTGTTATACTGGATGGGTTTTTGTGCATGTAAATGGTCTGCAAAGGCTAAAATCCCAAAGTTCCTTCCAGAGGGAGTGTCTCTCCCAAACACTGCCACCCAGCCTGAAACGCGGGAATAGGGGGTTAAAAGCCATATGCCATACTGGGGTCAGACACAACAAATAATCTGATAGGACACTACTAGATACCTGTGCCTTAGGACATAGACCCCTCTGGCACACACAGGAAATGACAGACAATAGTGACAGATTGAACCTAAACATGACCCTTCATTAATATGGCTCTTCCATGGACGTCACAGCTGTTCTTATCTGCCTGGTGTAACCTAAGGTTAAATGCTTAAATGATTGCTAAGATGAATAGGACATTCTTTTATTGTAATAAATGTATAGAAATAAAATTAGTTTTAAAATGACTTAACTGTTTGAACCAGGACCTTCAGTATTTGGATGAAGTAGCTAGTGATAAATAAGGTGCATCAGATTTTGTAGTTACAGCTGTCAGAGACATGACATGACAACTAATGTTTTTTCACTAAAGCATCTTTCTGTGTCTTCTCTCTCCTCACCTTGCTCAGGTGCCATTTTAGTGGCCCAGCCTCTGGACTATGAGACCTGCAGGGACTACTTCCTGACCGTGGAGGCTCGTGATGGCGGCACACCACCGCTTAGCGCCATCACAACAGTGAACATAAACCTGACAGATGTCAACGACAACGCACCGATGTTCAGCCGTGAGCTGTACACTGCAGTGGTGTCTGAGGACGCTACCACCGGAGAGTCTGTGGTCCAGGTGGGTTCCAGTCCTGCATGCTTCCCTTTTCAGGTTATCTTTAGCATGTATTGGCGATATGTCCTGGAATATGATTGGAAATTCAGGAGGATACATTGTAACGTTTGAAAGGACCTTCTGACCTTTTCTTTAGCACCAATAAATAGTTCTCTTTTTGCAAAAGGAATATAAAACAGCTGAAAGGCTTTTGGCATCACATATAATATTGCATCACACTCTTGCAAAACAACGTTTCATTAACGTTTTCCATTTATGAGGTAGGTGCTTCCTTGAATGTGATAGAAAAATCAATTTTACAATCTCACATTCTGGAAATCCATCTTTCAATGTCCTCTCAAGTATTTTAAATGTTATTACAACTGGCGACTGGTTTCAAACTCATACTATAACATATTACTGTCATTAATTTTCACTGAATTCTACGTAGATTTTCAGTTTTGGTCACTTTACATTTTGGAGGATGGACATTTCCATATACACCTCTCCATGAGCTTTTCTCCTGCACCTTATGCAAATGAACACACAAGTCAGACGAGTGGTGGCGAAGTCCATAGGGACTTGGCTTGGCAAGACCAAGTGCTACCGAGGTGTCCCTGAGCAAGGCACCGTTCCCTACACTGCTCCCCGGGCGCCGTACATAATAATGGCAGCCCACTGCTCCTAACACTAGGATGGGTCAAATGCAGAGAAACCGTTTTGTTACTAGTACCTGTACAATACAAGTAAGAATGGCTTGTACAGTAGTAGCCTTGAAAAATGTGGCAACACTTGAAAGGGAATGTGTTTGTGTGTGCGAGCGCGCCTCTATATTCTCATGCTTTTTCAGTAGATGGTGGTGTACAGTGCATCAGGGTGGATGTCATGGCCTTCAAGATTGCTCCCTCTGAGAGTGAAATAATGGCTGTGTGGGGGGCTTTCATCAGCTCCACCACCTAGATGTTGGCAATTATTGAGTTGCTGACGTTAACTGGCCTCCGAGGGATTGATAGGATTTAGTGGTTCAAGCTTTTATTTGGTGAGCTTCACAGAGAGAACAGGTGGTGAGCATGCAGCCCTGAGACAATTTTCACTTGTTAAATAGACTCATACTTTTTACAGAAATTGCGGCTTTGCATATTTGCTTTGTTCCTATACAAGTGCAAACAAATAGAAAAGTCTATCCAATAGAGAAAGGTTGGTACTTGTCACAGGTCCAGAATATTTTTAAATGAACGTTCACCATAGACACTGCAGTTGTTAATACCATTCATTATTTTTAAATAGGTTTCATTTGGAAAGCAATGAGTTTATCGACTGATTATGTAAGGAAGAATGTGCAGTGAGTCGGTCATGAAAGCAACAAATCTTCCAACAGCTTGATCAATCGCTCATTACATGGCAACTCACTGAACCAATCAATAATTGGTTATAATAATAACATATTGATTTTAACATGATTTCATTGATTTAAAAATGAAAGCTTTGCTTCCGTTCAGAACAAATTATCGGTTCTATTGCATAGCAACCGCTGGAACTGTGATAGCAATAAAATGATGGCAGCACTGATCACATTTTTTCTGTAACTGTCCGAGCCTGTTTCCATTTCCTTTTCCATGAACCAGTGTTTGATCACTGCCAGAGCCCATACTGTGTCCCTTTAGTGATTACTTCCTGTTGGTTTCTTCTGCCGATGTCTCTGTCCTCATGCTCTCTGAGTCTGGGTTACTGTTCTCTGTTACTTATTGAACTGGGGATATTTCAGCCGTCATGAATCCAAAGGCTCATGCTTTCCACAAATATAAAAATGTTCAAATATTCAAAAAGTATTCCTTGGTGTTTTCTGATCGATTAACCAAAACGAACATGTTTTTTTGGCCAGAGCTGATGTTAAATTGACCGGACTTATTTCTGCAGATTAATATGACTGTACACGGTCCCTTGATCAGAGCGTCCTCAGCAATGCTCTGAAACTGAAAATGAGCAATGCCCAAACTGACCAATCAGAATCCAGTATTCAATTAAGCTGTGATATAAATAAAGGATAATGTGCATGCGGTCAACAATGGAAAAAGACTGGACTTCTTTCTGCAGATTGATATGACTGTACAGCAGCGGTGTGTTAGCAAGTATTAACAACCTCTGAAAGGTCCAAAATGAACCAATCAGAATTGAGTATTCAATTAAGCCGTGTAATATTAGGCAGGTGAACTGACCAGTTAAACATTTATATATATTATAATGATATAACTAATTTCTTAAAATGTGTTGTTTTTGCTTCTAAAAATTATCTGAGGTTTAGTTAAACATATTTTCTGTAACTGATACCTTGAAATGTATCGAAACTCACTTTGGTGCCAGCAGATTAATATTGTAAATTAATTAATTTAATTCAGATCATAGAAATACTTGTTTTTTTATCATAAATATATAGCAACTCTTACAGTTGTAGCTGTAAAATTAAAAAAGGACTAGTTCAGTTTTTTAAAAGCCGAATGTATGAGTCCTGAACATCACTACTGACCATTTCCCAAAGACTAGCTCAGTGTTTTTTATTTTATATGTATTTTCCCAGCATTCCTGGCAGCCAACAGACATATTTACTTCTGTTTGTGTCACGCCAATCAATTTACTTTATGATTACCAAAAATGTAGCATTGGCAAAAGAATAAAGGTGACTAAATGGATCAGACACTTCAACATGTTTCCTCTCCCTGTTATCTGGTTATCATAATGTTCGCACATGAATCACATCTGGATCATAATAAAACACAAGTCAACAGTGCAGAAGGTTTTGGAAAATTGCCAACTTTGAGTGAAACAACACAGTATTTTCAGAAAATGGGTTAAATCATCCATAATTAATGTAACAGAGCAGCTTCAATCGGCACTGAAATACACTTTAATATGTGTGAAATGTATCTAATCATGAATTGTAATAGGAATCATCAAAATGCACTGCTTATTTGTGAAGGCTATATTAATAAACCAATCTTCCAAAGCAAAGCAGCTGGTAAACTCTCTTTAAACTCTCGGAATACTGTGCAGCTGTTATCTGGCTAGTCTGATATATAATATGTAATGTATTACATTTTATGTGTACAAATATAGTCTTTTTTAACAGTTCAATCATGGAAAAATCCTTCAGAACAGAGAAGGCTAATATTTGATTAAAAGTGTTTTATCCAGCAGAGTACAGGGACAAATCGAAATGTTTGACTTACCCAGGCATATTGAAGTGTGTGTGTGTGTGTGTGTGTGTGTGTGTGTGTGTGTGTGTGTGTGTGTGTGTGTGTGTGTGTGTGTGTGTGGTGTGTGTGTGTGTGTGTGTGTGTGTGTGTGTGTGTGTGTGTGTGTGTGTGTGTGTGTGTGTGTGTGTGTGTGTGTGTGTGGTCATCATTTATGTAAGTATTTCCAAGGCACACCTTATGATCATGTACAAATGTTTCTGATGCGTGTGTGTGTGTGTGTGTGTGTGTGTGTGTGTGTGTGTGTGTGTGTGTGTGTGTGTGTGTGTGTGTGTGTGTGTTTTCAGCTGGTGGCAGAGGACGTTGACAGTCAGCTGAATGGAGCCATCCTTTACTCCATCATCAGTGGAGACCGAGACAACCAGTTCTTCATGGACCCGCTCCGTGGGGTCATCAAGGTCAACAAGCCACTGGACCGTGAGACAGTAAGGACACCAGACACACACAGAAACACACAGAAACACACAGAAACACATAGAAACACACACGCACTGTTTTGAAGCTCATTCTTAAAATAACTATGGAAAGGATTCACTCAGCATCACTACCTTAGCACTAAACCGACTCAACAGAATTAAAAGCTTCAAAAAACACCTAAATGCCATATATCTGTTGTTATGTAACTGTTTTTGCTCATACAGCTTGTTAACACCATAGTTTCTTTTGGCCTTTTTGCATGTTTTTTCCAGCATTTATTAGATGTAATCTGCAGCCGGAAAGCTGACAAGTCACTTCTTTTAATAGTAATAGGATGAGCAATTTGCTAGCCTTCTAATCAAATATGTATATTTATCAACCTGGAACTGGAACCACCAGAATTGAAGGTAGGCTATATGGAAATGATTGCATCGCTCCAGGATTAATGATCACACTTTTCATGGACTATTTCAGCTCCTAGCAAACTCAAAATCCACTCAAAATCTAGAAACTATTTAAACAGATTATTATCTCACGCCTCATGTTTCTGGTTAATTGCTACAGTCCTGATATTATGAGAGCTGCTGGATTATGATCTCCTATGGGCAGCCATCTTTTATTTATTGGGGAAACAGAGTTGAAATGGTGAGATAGAGGGGATGATGCGCGTCGTCAACGGTCCCGTGTGGGATCTGAACACCAGACTGAGCCCCAGTTAATGAACCACCAGCCTTAACTTAAGTAAAAGTAATACCACACTTTAGTAATACTCTGCATATTCTCATATGCAGGATAGCTACAGTGTAGTTTTGGCAATGTCCCAGGCTCTTCAATGCAACATAAATATTTATAAGACATATAACAGTTATATGTCTTATAACATTTATAAGACATATAACAGTTCTTCTTTTGCTTGAAGAAACAGCAATACAAATAAAATAAGTGTAATAAGTGCAAGAGAGTTTGCAAGTTACATATACGTTAACTATATGTAAAATAGCATAAGATAAGCTAAAACATAATGTATACCTGCAGTGGAATACAAAACTGCTTATTGTAAAAATAAAGTGGAGCTGTAAACAGATGAATGCTATAAACATATCAAGATCTCAGGAGTCTAGCAGTCTTGTGGCATGTGGAATAAAACTGTCCCTGAGTCTGGTGGTTTTCCACCACTGGCCATCAGCTCTACCTCAGTCAGCTATACGGCGGCCATCTTTAATGTAAAGAGGGAGCCTGCTGGCAGCTGATGGGCTCACTGGGAGATGTTCTGCTGTGAGACGGATCCCTGACCAGATGGCAACTAATCACTCTTCAACAGGAAGCGCATGCAGCAAGCAGCTCTGAATATGAGCTCTTTAATTTGCAGCAGGAAAAAAGATGGAAGGCACGAACCCCCCTGCTTGCCTTCCCCCACACCCCCCTCTCCTCTGAGCTGTTTCCCACTCTTTTTCTTTCTCCTTCATCTTTCCTCGTCTCCTTCTCCTCCACAAAACTTCAGAAATGTTCACATTGCTATCATAAAGTATTCAAGAGTGCAGCCCGTGAGCGCGCTCAGTAAGAGGGTGCAGGGAAGTGTGGGGGATCAAAGCTTTTGGCTGATGAAAGGGTGTTTGGGTTTATCACACAGAGAGCAGCAGCTTCCTCTGTGTGCAATGCTGATGTGTCCGTCCATGTGTGTGTGCATTACAACTTATATGGGTGTTTACATGTGGTCTCATTTCCATACTGTTTTTTCTTCTCCCCCTCTCTCTGTAAAGCAGGTCATAGTTGTTTACTAACGTTTTTTTCTCACATGTCTCAGGCAGCAGGATATTGTGTTGCTGCTGCCTTTGCATTTCTTCTTAGTGTGCTTCATTAGCTCTTTACTATAAAGCAATATGGAAAAATGGAAAAGATGTCCTTCTGCGAGTTTAGGGAACACTGAGCAGCATGCCAGGGTAACTAGGTGTGGGAACTTCTCAGCCTTCCTTCAGACAACCACATCGAAAAGCGCTTCTATAATATGAAAGCTTTGATCCAGTGAGTCATGTCAGAGCGCTTTGGAAGGATCAAAGGCAGCGAACCAATCAGGAAGCTTCCACTCTGCCACTCAGTCATTTTGTTTGACACTTAGCCAAGTGATTGTAGACTGGCAATGAAAAGTCATTTTTGATTAGCATCTGTTAATATTGCCTTATTTCAATCTGTGTTCTCTGTATCCTATTATCCCTGAGAAAATATAATCACTACTTTGGGCTAAATTGCACCTCTTTTTTTTCTGGAAACTTTCACAATCTAATCAGGCAAGTTAGAAAAACTAGCTGACCAAATGTCAGAGCTAACGGCTAATACGATTTTATAAGAACTGATAAATGAATTGGCAAAAAAGTGAAAAAAGGCCAAAAGTGGTGCTGGATTTGGCCTATTATAGGAACAGAGTGGCAACTTCAACCAAAGAAATTCAGTTTGGACCAATGTTTCAAGGGGTTAGGGCCTACATTTAAGATCCATAGTCAAAGAACATCATTAGGGCATGTTATCCACTTGAAAGGTCTAAAAGGAAGACTATAAGAAGATTTCATGAGAAGATTTCATGAGCACTGCAATACCTTTATATTTGAACAAACCTTTGCCTATCATCTAGTGCCACCCTGAGGACAAAATGTACATTTTCACCAGGCTGTAATAATAGTAGAATAATCTTCCTGTGGATGTTCAGCACTTTTTCAATGTGTTATGCAAGGAAAAAAACATCCACTTAGCCTTGGTGGGAATTTCCTCAAAAATGAGCAGAAACTGTGATGGTTGGTATATTTTAATCCAGTCCAGAAATCCGAACATTTCTTCAGTCTTACATGTGCTATGTTCATAATGTTATGATTTTTAGATATATTTATATCTGCCATTTTGTTTTTCCTTCTAGGTTCCCAGCTACTCGCTGGCCATCAGAGCTTTGGATAGTGGAATCCCCCCCATGTCCTCCACCGTGATGGTCAATATAGACATCTCTGACATCAATGACAACCTGCCCACCTTCTCCCCGGCCAACCTCACTACTGTCATACAGGTACACCGCCCCCTGACGTGATAATGACTTAAAGGGGCCCTATTATGCTCATTTGTAGGTTCATATTAGTATTTTGTGCCTCTACTGTGACATGTTTCCATGCTTTAATGTTCAAAAACCTCCTTATTTTTTTCTCATACTGCCTGTGCTGCAGCACCTCTTTTCACCCTCTGTCTGAAACCAGAGCCCAGTCTGCTCTGATTGGTTAGCTGGCCGGCTCTGTTAGGATTGATCAACCGCGTAGATATGTGTCGGAAATGTCCCGCCCCTTAGCGTACAATGAGTGCTAGCCAATAGAAGTGCAAGTCTAACATAGTGATGTCATGATGTTACAGAAGTAAACAAAAGAGTCCAGTTGAGGAGTTTCTCGCAGGGGAGAGAGGACTATGTGATTGTTGCCGTTCCAGACCATTTACATGCATAAATACCTATATAACACACTAAAGGGAGGAAAAAAGGGTCTCTTTAAGTTACAGCTTTTAATTAAAAAAAGGGTTGGTTTTCCTGGACAATCATTGGGTAAAGTGCAGGCCATGCCTTTAGGATTTCCTGAGGGGACTGATTAAAGATCTCTACAGGGATAGGCTGGCTAAATTCCCAATCCCAATGTTTCAGTTATATGTCCAGGAGCTCAAATCTATGGCTTTTTCAAAGAACTGAAAATGAAATGACTATTCAGTTCTCTATAAAAAAACATCATCATATTTAAACAATCATCATAATGTGATCATGCATAATATATACCCAAACAGGTCGGTTTTCTAATACTGTGTTCCCTCCACCAGGAAAACAAGCCAATCAGCACCAGCATATTGCAGCTGTCCGTCATCGATCAGGACTCCTCCCACAATGGCCCGCCCTTCGACTTCCGCATCCTGTCAGGAAACGAAGGCGGGGAGTTCGTGCTGGAGAAAGATGGAACGCTGTTGGCCAACCAAGTGTTCAGGAGGGACCTGGCAACGGAATACGCTATTCTGATTCAGGTGGAGACAAACTGCTGTTTAATGGTGGATTTAGAATAAGAGGATAGCTTTTTAGCCTCTCAAATACAGTGTAGTCACTAGTCACTAATCCTAACACCTGTGTTTCACCTACAGTATAAGCATTGAAATAATAGACACACTGGTCCGTCAGTTTAGAAAAAGACTTCAGTCATGGTTGGTTGAGGAGCTTCTTCAGACCTTCTTTGGTTATAATAGTAGTAATAACTTAAATAATCTACTCAAGCAATATTAAAATCTATGCTGCATTCAATTAAATTACTATTAAATTGACTGCGCACTTAACAGAGTAAATTTAACTTGTCAACCCGCCTCTGCAAATGAGTGCTGTGATCTGCGTTAATGCACTTCCTAACTTTGTGAATGTGATGAGACGAGTGATGTTAGCACTGTCTCACAGCAAGAGCTTTCGAATCCTGCGTTGGATTTTTATTTAAATGCTCCGGAGTCCAAAGGCATGCAGGTTAGGTTTATTGCTGTCTCTTGTAGGTGTGAATGTGAGCGTGACAGATTGTCTCTATGTGTAAACTGATTGTTTAGTTACCTGTCCAGCAGTGGCCTTTTGCCCAATAGAGTGCCACAGTGACGCGTCCTAAAACCCGGAAGTAAGCTGCGCATGGGTTCCTTCGACAAAAAAGCAATGCAATTTCTCCATAGGATTTTGGAAAATAGCTGGAAATAAGGTCTGTGGTTGACACACATTTAAGAGACGGATCACGTTTTGTTCAGTCGGATAATCTCCACATGTCTACCCTACTTTTATAATTTTCTAATCATAAATCTAATCGATAGATTTATGATCGATAGGATTGGCTGCTTGTAAAGAATAAGTGGTTACATGTAGTATATCAATGTGCAGAATGTAGAGAAAAGATGTCAACAAATAGACATGTTACCAAGACATTGTACTGTTTTTGATTCATTTCCTTATCTAATTTTCTTTTCTGTCCCTGGTTGTCCCTCCTCTCAGGTGACGGACTCGGGGAAGCCCCGCCTCTCCTCCTCCTCCATGCTGAAGGTCAGGGTGATTGAGGAGAGTCTTCACCGGCCAGTTGCGTTGCCCCTGGAAGTTCATATCGTCACTATGGAGGACGAGTTTCCTGGCGGTGTGATTGGCCAGCTGCACGCCACCGACGCTGACCCTTACGATGCGCTGACCTTTGGCCACGCCCCCCCAGCCCAGCGCAGTCTCTTCAAGATCAGTCCTCGTGACGGCAAGATCATCGCCCTGGGGGGCTTGGATGCAGGCAGGTACTCCCTCAATGCCAGCGTTAGTGACGGCCGCTTCGCTGTGCCTGTGCCCGTGAGCGTGCACGTGGAGCAGGCGACACCAGAGATGCTGCGTGAGGCGGTGACCGTGCGCTTTGAGAGTGTGTCACCACAGGACTTTGTGGCGCTGCACCTGAAGAGCGTGCTGAAGGTTCTGCAGCAGGCCGCCGCCTCGCAGCAGCAGGACAAGCTACACCTGCTCAGCCTGCAGCCTGTCGGGGGGACCCAACAACTGGACATGCTTGTTGCTGTGGAAACAGAAGCAGGCGGGTACTACAAGGCAGCTTACCTCACCCAGAAACTCAGTGCCTCACGTCGGCAGCTGGAGGAGGTCCTCAGAGTGTCGGCTATCCTGGATAAGAACTGCTCGGGCCTGGAGTGTCGCGGCGCGCAGTGCGAACAGACCATCATCCTGGACTCACACAACCTGGCTACATACAGCACGCCGCGGGTCAGCTTCGTTTCACCACGCTTCCATCGGACTTCACGCTGCACCTGCAATGGTAAGTGATTTAATGTGGAAATTGTGTCCAGGTGTCAAATTCTAATTCTGTAAGTTGTTCAAAAAGTAGGAAAATCCTGCCTGGAGCAGAGCCTCAACAGTCTGTTGTTTGGCTTCCAACATTATTTCCCATTAGCCCTTTGCAGGCTAAATGTTGCAGCCTTAACAGAAGAGGCAAGGTCATGGGTTGCAGGACACAGAGAGTGTGATTACTGACTGTGGCAGGTGTCAGGACAGTGGTAGCGGCAGCAGTCATCTAACACCCGTCAACAAACTACTGAGCTAAATGCCACTTCAATCAAGACACTGTTCTCTCAACTAGACTCGCTGTCAACTAGAATGGGGCCACATTTCCTGTGCATGGTTTGCTGTTCCACTGTTTGATGGATATTGAAAAGTCACTTTATCCTTTTTGTTTTTCATTCATTTAAATAATTATTTCAACCATAGAGGTTATGATTTTGCCCGTTTAAAACAAAAAAGGAACAGCAATACCTACTTAGCTGATTAGCTTTCTGTAATAGCAGCAGGACAGAGAAGACAGAACGAAGACAGTAGAGGTTAGGCCTAAAATCTGGGGGAAATACTTTAGAAGTGAGCATTGCTGTAAGTAATTGTTTTTAGCCTCATTGATATCATTACATTTGCTACAGTTTCGATTTTGTATACCAAATGCAGTGGTGATTTCACAGTGAGCTATTAGAATATGTCGTGCTTTAGGTTTATAGAATGATCATTGCAAGGCATTACGTTTTAAAAAGTACAGGGGCTAGCCCAACGTGAATACAAAGCAGTGCAATCAGCATAATATCAGATGGTCCATACCACACAACCCCGTCTCACGGCATTTCGTGTTATAGTCACAACATTTAATCTATTGATTCGTGTTCACCAACACGATTTTCCCCTTTTTTTCGTGTCACACAGAACGATTTTAAAAGCAATGTATTTCTATTGGTAGTGTGTTTCCTGCCTGCACCACGTCTTTTTGTCCGGTCGGGTCTTGAAAGACCAGAAGCTGTGTGGTTCATAAAACCATTTTCTTACTCAATATCAACCCACGATTATTGTTTTTATTTTAAATCGTATAATGTCTGACTTTTTTTGCCGTCCGCGAGGAAAATAAATGGGGCTCAGAGCCTCAGAATACTGAAATCTGTATTTTTTCAATCTTTCTTTCCTTCTAATTTGTTATTCTTTTCTAAATAACACACTGTTATTTACTCAACAATAACACACAATTATCCTTGTTTTTATTTATTTGTTCAATTCTATAATCTCTGGCTTTTTTGGCGTCCGTCAGGAACTGAATTTCAAAATAAAATAACCGGAAACAGATACACACCCACTGAACTGATTACCCAAGATCCTCAGCTATGGTTTAAGCTCGGTGATTGGATTGTTTAGTGCAAAGTTAATACACGTTGGGATATGGTGTTAATGCGATATGAAATCCGAAAAACATTTAAAAGAAAATAATACTTTAATCCGAGTGTGCTTGCTTTTGCCGTTCGAGTCCAGTTTTGGATAATCTGCCGTGGTTTCGTTCCATTTCAAAGAGCTGTCTGACGCTCGGCGTAACCTTGGCACACTGCCACTCCAACATCCAATCCCAGAGCTTGAAGATTAATCACAGGGTTTTTCAAGCAAAGGGACTGTAGTCCCAAACGATAGCTGAGGATTATGGGTAGTGTAGTGTCTTCGGCCATCCTAAACTCCGAAATGTTTTTTGGATTTCATATCGCATTAACACCATATCCCAACGTGCATTGCGGCTAAAACATCCAATCACCGAGCTTCAACCATAGCTGAGGATCTTGGGTAATCAGTTCAGTGGGTGAGTATCACAATGATGCTCGAAATGTCCCATAGGCGTACGTCTGTTTCCAGTTATTTTATTTTGAAATTCAGTTCCTGACAGACGCCAAAAAATCCAGAGATTATGGAATTAAACAAATAAATAAAAACAAGGATAATTGTGTGTTATTGTTGAGTAAATAACAGTGTGTTATTTAGAAAAGAATAACAAATTAGAAGGAAAGAAAGATTGAGAAAATACAGATTTCAGTATTCTGAGGCTCTGAGCCCCATTTATTTTCCTCGCGGACGGCAAAAAAAGTCCGACATTATACGATTAAAATAAAAACAATAATCGTGGCTTGATATTGAGTTAGAAAATGTTTTTACGAACCACACAGCTTCTGGTCTTCCAAGACCCGACCGGACAAAAAGACGTGGTGCAGGCAGGAAACACACTACCAATAGAAATACATTGCTTTTAAAATCGTTCTGTGTGACACGAAAAAAAGGGGAAAATCGTGTTGGTGAACACGAATCAATAGATTAAATGTCGAGACTATAACACGAAATGCCGTGAGACTGGGTTGTACCACATCTGCAGGTGCTTTGGATGACTACATAGTTAAAAGTTAGTTAAGCTTCCTCAGGCTGCATACAAAGAGCTACGAACAGGCCTTTCTCTGCAAAGGAAAAGCTCATAAACAGCACCCTTTAGGGAGTCTTTGGTGAAAGACAATCATCATGTGACTGATGGGCATAGCCAAGCTAGCGCTAATGCTAGCAAGCTACACCCTGCTCTGATTGCCTTCTTACACTACAAGTACCAGCATTGTTATAAGGATACAAAAAGCATTAAAGAGTTTCAAAGTTGCTAAGTTGTCTCTGAACGGTAGGGTGGGCTGTTTTTTACCAGAATCAGAGGTGACTGTAAAGCCTCCTGGTTGTCAGGGTCAGAGTCAGGCATTCGGCTGAAGAACATACACACTTTATACACACTTTATGCCTTAAGATGTTAGATTGTATGTTTATATTTACATTATCCCTTGACTCGAATTAGGAAAAGCGGTAGACATGAAACTTGGCATGTTTTCTATGCGGCACAATGTGTAACCCAAGCGTCCTTTCATGGGTCAAGTTGCGTATCAGGTGTTATGTAATTGCATTTTCTGCATGAATTCCACTTGTAATATAAGCATATGTCACTTAAAAGGGCCATGACATTTTCCTCCAAGTATAATTATGTAATAGGGTATTGCAAATAGTAATGACATGGTAATGATTGAATTATAGTTGTAATATAGTTATAGCCACAACATATGTATCATGTCATTCCAGGATAAGAAACATTTCACCTCTCACATTCAGTGCTCTAATTTGTATATTTGCACATAATACAGAAAAGGGTTTGACACCATATGAGTCACTGACACTCAAACATAGAACATAGAAAGAAAAGGGATTTGGAAATCCGCAAAAGGATAACTAATGTGTTTAAACTGACTGCCTGATGGATATACCTTAAATAATGCTTTCAGTTATGGAAATGGTTCACATATAACATTCATCTCAGTTTGTAATTCCATTTGTTCATGAGCGCTGATTTTAAGATCACCATCAAACATTTTAAATAGAAAACTATACATTTATTTTATATATATATTCTATTCCTCATTGTAGTCTGATGAGTGTGTTTTCTATCTTTCCTTGTGTGTGTGTGTGCAGATGCCAGCTGTGCCGTTCTGTCAGAACAGTGTGAGGAGCAGCCGTGTCCTGCAGACATGCAGTGTGTTTCAGTGGAGGCCACCAGAGGGCGCTACGCATGCCAGTGTCCACCGGGCAAACTGGGGGAGTGTGCAGGTGTGTGTGTTTGAGAGAAAAAAAGGGACTAAACACCTATAATCCTCTAGTCTATGTTGATGTTTTTGATGTATAACACAATGTCATGTATATATACTTGTGCATAGCTCTGGAATGTCATTGATTAATCTGTGTGTGTGTGTGTGTGTGTGTGTGTGTGTGTGTGTGTGTGTGTGTGTGTGTGTGTGTGTGTGTGTGTGTGTGTGTGTGTGTGTGTGTGTGTGTGTGTGTGTGTGTGTGTGTGTGTGTGTGTGTGTGTGTGTGTGTGTGTGGGTACAGGCCATTCGTCTCTAAGTTTCTCAGGTAACAGCTACATCAAGTACAGACTGGCTGAACGGCTGCAGACGGAACTGAAGCTCAGCCTCCGGATCAGAACTCTGCAGAGCAAAGGAATCATCATGTACACACACACTGAGCCCTGCACCGTGCTCAAGGTACATACTCCAAAACACACACACAAACACACACACAAACACACACACACACACACACACACACACACACACACACACACACATACAAACAACAAGGTGTTGGTCTATGCTCTGGCAGACACTTTTTTTTAAACACAACCCGATTTAAGGAGATCAAGGAAAACATCTTTGAATTTGTTGGTACTGTATGCACCTTGATAACACTAATATATTTGTAATCAAGTTAAATTATAATAATTATTAGGAAAACATTTTAGTTAGACAGTTGTTCTAACTGTTTAAGAATTTGAAGATAATTATTTGTATCCATATTATGATAATTTCTTCTTTGGTGTTGTATTAATCAGACATTTCTGTTATTTTTCACACACTCTAGTCACTAGAGAAAAATAACAGAAATGATACACTAGAGTCTAGTGTATCATTGCTAGTTAGTATCAAATATACACTTTCCATGAAAATGATCCTAACAAGGGATTGGAACTGTTTGTAGAGTTTGATAGAAGATGGTTTTCATTTAGTGTGTTGCCTGATTAGATATTATTTCCAATATTAATGTGTGTGTGTGTGTGTGTGTGTGTGTGTGTGTGTGTGTGTGTGTGTGTGTGTGTGTGTGTGTGTGTGTGTGTGTGTGTGTGTGTGTGTGTGTGTGTGTGTGTGTGTGTGTGTGTGTGTGTGTGTGTACGTGTACGTGTGTGTGGACAGTTGGAGGAGGGGAAGCTGTGGTTCCAGCTGGCCTGTGGTGAAGGTGGAGGTGGTGACAGTGCTGACATGTTGGGTATCTCCGGTCGTCGTATCAACGATGGCAGCTGGCACACGGTGGCGCTGGAGCTCAATCGTAACTTCAGCAGCCTGGCCCTGGACGACAGCTACGTTGAGCGGCGCCGCGGACCGCCATTCATACAACCATTGGCTCCGGACAGAACCATCTACTTCGGAGCAATGGTCAGTCCATAAGTTATCTGGAGGGGTTAAATGATAACACAATGGCAGCCATGTTAGGGCTCCTCAGATTAATGTTTAACATGTTTCTTTACTATCGCGCTGCCTTATATGACCTGCATCCGGGTTTAAAGAATGCTAGCTAAAAATTGAATGTAGTTTTTCTAAAATGCCCATATATTTGTGATGAATGTTTGTGAAATGCTACACTGCACACAGTCTATTCCAATGTGTCATGTTAGTTATGGGTGCAAAACAATATAGTGGTGCGGGAATGAGTTCTTAAACCCGGAAATGAGTTAGCATTTGACTACTTCTGGTTTCCTTCTTCGAAGTCTATTATTTTTTAACGTGTTTTTGGTTAGAAATAGGCTCTGTGCTAAACACAAGCTTAAGAGTTTATCATGTGTTGTTCTAAAATACATCAGTAAAGACCCAACTTGTGAATGCCTTAAGCTTGTGTCATAAAAACAGCAGTTCCTAATAAGTTACTAGGTACCTGCACTTCTGAGTGGAATCTAAGATTTCTGAATTTAGAATCAGAATCAGAAACGGGTTTATTGCCAGGTAGGTTCACACATACGAGGAATTTGACTTGATGTCATAAAATATAAAACAAAGAATCTCCATATAAAACAAGAAATCTAATATAAAACAAAAAATCTTTAAGGACACTGTAATAAAATATAGTTAAATAGCAATAAAATAAAGCAGTAATTCCCCATGTTTAAATCTGACTACTGTTAGTGCAATTAATGGCTTACCAACTTTAAATGTTAACAGAGAGAGAGAGAGAGATCAATAAAACACAAACACACATATGGTTGAGATTAATTATTATTCAGTTGCGCAACAACAATAATAATATTGGAGTACATCACCTTCTGCCACAGCAGCCAATCGTGGAAATGCCCCACGAGTACAACAGACAGCAGATATAGGTTTTCTAAATGATGCACCCACATTTTCCTAAACATGTTTAACGCACGAACATAGATTAGTTGATATGTTAATATGTTCCAGATGTCAAAAGGTCATCATCTCATGACGTCTTTAGGAGTAATTCATATCTTATCAGGATATGAATTTCCCAATTAACAAACTATATATACGTTTGCACATGACCACATAACATTTTCCTTACATGAACTAACAAACTAACTGTATTATAAAATCTAATCAGCGCCTTTGTACTTCCTCTGACATTGGGTCAATTTACTTAACGTGGGTACATCTGCTGATAATTGCGGCAATGGAGCCTCTCTGACCTGTGTTACCTTAATAAATAAGCGAGAAATACGCTGTATAAGGAATCTGCCATAACACTACTCTTAGGAAAAAACATAAATATTGACTTCTTCCTGTCTTTGTAAGTTCATATAGTAATTTCTGCCCCTTCTCTCCTCAGGTGCAGCACCCTAACTCTCGCAGCCTGGTGGACTCACAGAAGGACCCGCGGGTGCTCGAAGGCTTCCAGGGCTGCCTGGACTCGGTCACGCTGAACAACAACGAGCTGCCGCTGCAGAACAAACGCTCTCGATACGCAGAGGTGGTGGGACTGACAGAGCTGAAGCTGGGCTGCATCCTTTACCCTGACGCCTGCCTGCAGCAGCCCTGTCGCAACGGAGCAACCTGCACCAGCCTGCCTTCCGGTGGTGAGTAACAGGAAGTGCAGCTAACTCACACTGGAGGTCCTGAAAGGGATAAAAACTGTTCAGTGAATTGAAAATACTTGGTTGATGTCACTTAGAGATGTCTTAGCCCTTAGCATATCCTGTACAATGTGTTGGAGCAGTAGCCAATAGAAGCATGAGTGTTACATAGTGATGTCACTATGTTACAGGAGTAAACAAAGGAGTCCAATAGAGGCATTTCAGGCTCTGGCATGGATTTTAGCCTTTGCAGACCATTTACAGGCACAACAACACTATATAACACACTACAGAGAAGGGAAAACCCCAAAAAGCATATTAAGTTGCACTTTTTAGTTTAAAAAAGGTTTGCTTTACTGGACAATGGTTGTGTGCTAAACTATATAACACACTAAGGGAAAGGGGAAACCCAAAAGCTTTAAATAATCATTTGGGACTCAAATAATGAACCAAGATTCAAGAGATATTCGTGAAATAGTTGCTGACGGTTGAAATACCCACAACCTTGAGGGTGAAGTGAATGCACCAGCTTCTGTGTTAGCAGAGTGTGTGTGATGGTGCGAGGCTACAGAACCATTAGGCTTCACTGAACACAGCTGTAAGACCTTCCTCACGCAACATGTTACTCATTTACACCATAATGAGCAAAGCATCCTGGGAATTGTCGCAGCCCACTGTTGTCATTTACACAGCGCTGTGGAAAGGTTAGTGTGTGTCTCTGGTGTATTGTGTACACACAATAAAAATGCAAATTCCCCAGCGTATTCTCGTGTGTATTGGTGATTTGTGTGTGTGTGTGTGTGTGTGTGTGTGTGTGTGTGTGTGTGTGTGTGTGTGTGTGTGTGTGTGTGTGTGTGTGTGTGTGTGTGTGTGTGTGTGTGTGTGTGTGTGTGTGTGTGTGTGTGTGTGTGTGTGTGTGTGTGTGTGTGTGTGTTTGTAGGTCTTTATTATGCTGTGTGGATGTACTCATGTGATTTCCCAGAGGTGTGTGTCTGTGCTCTGCATTCTTAATGAAGTGTATCTGCCTGTCTGTGTGCGCAGGGTTCTCATGCAGCTGTAACCCCAGTACACCGGAGGGCGCTGTGAGATGGAGATCACGGCGTGTGTTCCCAACCCGTGTCAAAACGGCGGAGTGTGTAAACCCATCGGTAACGCCTTCTTCTGCAGCTGCAGGAGAGGCTTCAAGGGCCTGATGTGAGTCTAAACACACACAATCCTGTAAACATTTATTTGTTACACGACTCTAGCAGTCTCTCCATTGAGTGGTGCAGGAATGATTCCTTTAACCTGGTAATAAGTTAGCATTTCACCACATCCTGTTCGCTCGTTTCAGGGTCAATGGTCCTTGAACGTGTTTTTGGTTATGAAATAAGATCAATGGTTAAGACAAGTTTAAGAGATACATTTAGTTAAATCATTAAATCATCAAGAAAATCGTTAAAGATTATCTTGCGTGCGTGCGTGCGTGCGTGCGTGCGTGCGTGTTCATTTATCATTTCTACATTGTGCTTTTAATGGGCATTTAAAACAACAACTCAAGGACCTTTAAGTGTACTATTTTCAGTCAATATTTAATAACCAACATTTAAAAAAGATTCAATGAAAATAAACAAAAAAACAAACATGTATTGACTGCAGTTGCTGTTCCTGACCACAACAAGGCAGCATTAAATTAAAGTTCAACATATTGCCCTCTGCTTTTCATCTTCTTCAAACACAATACTTAACCGTCAAAGTAAAGTAAAGAAATATAATGATCTTATCTTTAGCTTCCAGCGTACACTCTCTTTGAATTTGTAAGAAGCCAAATGGCTCTGGCACAGCAGATTGATCATATTAAAGACAAAGGGATAGTGCTGGCATAGGGACTACTTCTGCAATCTATCCAGTGCATTTACTCTGTCACTCACAATGCGATCCATCTGGGAGCAGGTCATTGATCTGTCAGAAGTTATTTGTATTTGTAAATTCACACCTTTCCTTTTTCCTGTTTCCTCCATCCTCATCCTGCAGGTGTGAGGAAGATGTGAACGAATGTGACCGCAGCAATCTGGAGGGTGAGTGTGAGAATGGCGGCGTCTGCGTCAACACTTACGGATCCTTCTACTGTAACTGCACGGCGGGCTTTGTGGGCCAGCGCTGCGGCCTGCGACCCGTGGTGGTCCCCGACATGCAGGCAGGTCACACCGTGGTCGGTAAAGAGGAGCTGATCGGAATCGCCGTGGTGCTTTTTGTCATCGTCACCCTCATCATCCTCTTCATCGCTTTCCGCAAGAAGGTTTTTCAGAAGAACTACTCGCGGAACAACCTGTCTCTGGTCCAGGACCCGGCTACTGCAGCGCTCCTCAACAAGGCCAACGGTGTTCAGTTTAAGACCCTTCACTGCACACCAGGGGACCCCCTCAACCTGTACTCAGAGCCCACCGTGCTGGGAGTGGGCGGGATGATGTGTCCTCCACAGGTCCCTGTGAGGCCCATGGCATACACGCCCTGTTTCCAAGGAGACCCGCGGTCCACGCTGGAGAAGATGGTGGATGGGCGCGGTGTGGAGCATACGGAGATGAGCACCTTTCACCCCGAGTCCCCAAGGATCCTGTCGGGAACCACCAGGAGGGGGGTGGTGGTGTGCAGTGTGGCCCCCAACCTGCCGCCAGTGTCCCCCTGCCGCTCAGACTGCGATTCCCTATGCAAGAGCCCATGGGACAGTGATGAGGGTGAGTCTGTGTGTGTTTACTTCCTGCCAAAGTAAGTGGTGTTTGTTAACGTTAATGAGTTCATTCTATATGGATAAATAAGTAACCTAGAGATGCTGTACTGGTCCTTTTGTGCTAGGGTTAGGGTTGGGGTTTGGGTTAGGGTTATCAAACTTTTATAAACAAAAGATCAACAATAGAGCAACCCAATTAGTTTTTTGTCTTTGTTTTGGAATGTGTCCCTCCTGACCCCTGACCTCTCCCTACAGGAAAGATGGTTGACATGGCAGAAGAAGTAACGTGTTTCTCAGGGAGCAACAAAGGCAGCAACTCAGAGGTCCAATCCCTGAACTCCTTCCAGTCTGACTCCTGTGATGATAATGGTAAGACACGCCACTTGCACTAGCCAATAATTTAGAAATTAGTTTTTAGGATAATCAGAATACCAGAAAAAATGTAATTTCAATATTCTCATAGTCATGCCTCAGGTAAAATAAGAAACATAGGGCACCCCTATTGGGGTAATTATATACGTGTCTCTTCCATCTGTCATTTATCAAAGTTGTTTTTTAAATCATACAAATTGTTTTTTTGTGATTGCAACTACTGGTAAGGCTCGAAGATTAGCAAAATCCAAAATATGTTGTCAATCATGTGCAACTGTTAACAATTGTGATCATATGCATTCAGTCAGGTATGTATGCATGTATTATCAATTTTGAATTGCTGTACAATAATGCAGGAATGCATTCCAAAAGTTTCCAAATACTTTCTTACATGTGTTCATGATTTTAGGGTCACTGAAAGCATTCTTGAAGAAGCTCAGGGGTTTTCATTGCTTCACACTGTGGTGGTCTTCGTGCTGGAGCTGTTTTTGTTGTCATTTTCATTGCATCATGCTGATTTTATTTGCAACCCATGAAATTAATTGATTTTAATTGTTTCAGAATGATCAAAATATATCGTTTTGGTTTCCAAAATGATGACATTATTTACTGATTTAATCATCAATGATTAAATGTTTGAGTTGTGCTGCAGCCATATTAAAATTGATGCCATTTTCATTGCTTTGCTTGTTTAAGTCTGACTGGTGTACCAGATAAGGAAGTCCCTAAAAGGAAAAGCAGTATAGTGTAGTGTTTTTGGTTTTATGCTTACACATTGCTTTATTTGTGAAGTTAATTTTCTTTTTTTTGGCAGTCATTTCTGATTTATTTGTTTCAATAAAAATGTTGCAAATTGCCCCCGAACATCAAAATCTCGACAAGAAGTCTTGAGTGTGCCTGAGGCAGACCAGGTAGCCCTCTCTGCAGAAAGGACTGGCAGCAGCGGGCAGCCATAAGCAACGCCATAACGAACATTTTTGACTTTGGATAACTGTATTTACAAATCTCCTCCTTCTTTCCCTCCACAAGCCTCCATAGTGACGGTCATTCGACTGGTGAATGATGCAGTCGACACAATCGAAAGTGAAGGTACCATGTCTCATCCCCTTTGTATCTCTCCTCTCTCTTTTCTCTTATCCCAGTCTGGTATTTGCAGTAACTCTTCAGTTTTATACCCAAGCTAAATGCTCTCCCTGTGTGTTACATACTGTACCATTCAGTTGGACACTGTTCATGAACTAGCTGAAAGATGATTATTTTCCCCTTCCTCACACATTCTCAAGTCAGGGTTAGTTAGTGTGACCTACTTCAGGGTTAGTTAGTGTGACCTACTTCAGGGTTAGTTAGTGTGACCTACTTCAGGGTTAGTTAGTGTGACCTACTTCAGGGTTAGTTAGTGTGACCTACTTCAGGGTTAGTTAGTGTGACCTACTTCAGGGTTAGTTAGTGTGACCTACTTCAGGGTTAGTTAGTGTGACCTACTTTATAAAGCAGTGGTGGCTAACCACATTCCACTGATCACCTCAGTAGGTGATTTTACAAATGAGTTCCTCCATTTTACTCGGCTGTTTGGTTGGAATAAAAAGTGCTCATGATCATGAGAGTTGTAGATGATTGGTAGAAAAAAACAGGTCATAGGCCGTGTCTCAATGTTCATGTTTCTACTGTGTGTACTTAGATTTGCTGTACATCCCTAGACCATCCCAATGCTAGGTATGGCAAAATACAATGCACTAATGTATGTGTACCTGAATGGTAAACTAATCAACGCTCAAAAAGTTCAGTATGGAACACTCAATGGTCGCCATCTTGGCTATGTTATGTGTTGTTGGCTAGCTAGTTAACAACATAGAAAGTACAGCAGTTAAGTGCCCGAATTGAGACACAGCAAGAGTTTTATACTAAGTAAAATGAGGATGAGAGATAAGGGAATGTTGGGAAGCAGAGGTGAGATTTAACATAATCAGGACCCTGTTAACCAGGCTCTTTATATCAAGAATTTATAGTGAGTCAAATTATAAAAGAAATCACATTAGACAGACTGACATTTCTCCCATAGAACACCCACCCCTTAGTCGTATTCCACACGAGTACATTCAGAACAGCACACACTCACTACCCAATGCTAAAGGCTTCTGTGTTATGTTGTTCTTCTACCTGACAGTGTCAGTAATGGACCATGGTCAAACCTACAACAGAGGTGACTACCAGACCCTCTCCCTTTACCCCTCCCCCTCTATGTATCTATCTATCTCTCTCTCTATCTATCTCTCTCTCTATCTCTCTCTCTATCTATCTCTCTCTCTATCTCTCTATCCATCTATCTATCTATATATATATATATCTATCTATCTATCTATCTATCTATCTATCTATCTATCTATCTATCTATCTATCTATCTATCTATCTATCTATCTATCTATCTATCTGCAGCGGGTAGACAAAATAATAATCAGAAAAGAATGCTGCTTTAAAAAAAAAATCATATTGCCATATATCAATTAGCATAATAATGATGTCCTGGATGTTTGAGGAGCTATTATATTAGCAGCTATTTGACCTGCTGCTTTAATTATGATTAAACCATAAATCGCTATAAATCGAAATATCCCCTCTCAAGACACCAACTGGCTCCATGCATACACACACACGCCATTTACTGGTGCCTTTGGCCAACATCATTCTAAAAGTAGACTATTCAAATAATAACAATATAGTGATAGTCAATATCAGACTGTCTTGACAGTGCTGACTGTTCTGTCCAGCTAAGAGAGCTATACTGTCTCGCTCTGGCATGGTAGCAGTTTAATTGCATTAGTTCATAACATTACATGTAAATTAGCTGTTGCTTATATCCAATGAATAAATGCTGTTGATGCGATACACATTATTACCAATGGTTTCACACTTTTCTGCTGGTCATTGGTCGAGAGTAGTGTGTTGAACAATGTAGTTATTCACCAGCTAAAGGCAGGGAAGAAGAATACATTTAGCTGGTGAACATGAATTGAAATCATGCAGATTTATTTTAAATGGCAAATGTTTATTACTAACACATTAGAGCCATAACCTCCCTATGTTGTGTTGGAAATTGGCTTAACTACACCTGAACCAGACCACCAATAGCATACCAAAAAATCAAATCTTGAATCATCACTGTTTTATCTCCAAGTTATTTGATCTTGAACCCTCAATTTTTTTTTGTCTACCCGCAATATCTTTCTACCTCTGTGTATACCCAGCTGTACTTTAGTATTTCTGTCATTGGTACATTTCTCTGCTCATCCCCTTCCCGAGTTGGAGGTTTGTGTGCGTATATGTGATTTGATGTGACTCCCGACCCCTCCAACAACTCATTGTGCTGTGCTAAATTAGCAGCCCAGTGCAGTCCCCCCCCTTCCTGACAATTTGATTGCCTGCCATTCTCACCTCACTGCATCCACCATGTTCCTTTTTTTGGATTTTTATCTCCAGCCCAGTGATGTTACTGTACCAGTTGTTGCGTGATGAAGTTTTCACAGCCTCTTCCCATGGTTTGTGTTCTGCTTTGATGCATGGATGTGTTCTTGTTTGATTTGTCATTGCTTTACTCACCCTGTTTTGCTCTTGAATGAACTTGTACTCAGTTAAATGTATCTGCAGAGTTTTTGGTAGATTATCCTTTTGTTCTGAGAAACCTCTGTGATGAGCATCATCATCCATGCTATGCCAGTAGATTGTTGGCTCAAGTGCTCATTACAAAAACCTTAGCAACGGTCCCATTTCAGACTCCCACCCATTGAGTTTCTATTGGGTAAACCCTTACTAAGGGCTCTGCCAAATGTGATCAACATTGCAGCTTAGTTTAGCTTGAAGCTAGAGGAGACAACCAATGAATATAGTGTAAAACCGTACAATCTCAAAATAATCCATATCCTTTCATTTTTGTATTCTTCATTCTGCCATTGGCTGTTGTTCGTAGTCCAGACATTTTCATCACAAACTTACAGTGACACTGTTCAAATTTGGGTCATTTGAGTACAGACATATTGTCTAGAGCCAACAAACCAAAGACAATGCATGGTTTTGCATCACTTTGCTACATTGACCAAGAGGAAAATCTACCAGATATTTGATGTACCCTTCTAACATCCAGAATGTGTTTTTTGATCCCGCAATAAGGCTTGAGTGCTGCAAATCTTCATGAAGCTCAGCATGCTGTGACATCTGTGATCCCTACACTCAAAGGCTCTTGTTGTGCATGTCAAATACCCTTAAAGATCTAAAAAGTTTTCTGTCCAGGATGTGCTTTGTCTTGAACCTGAGCTTCCACCACTCTGTGTATTGCACTGTGTATAATGTGCCTGGTGCATACTAAGGCATGTCTGCTGCAAAGCTCTTCATTGTGGAAACTAGTTTGATGTTGTCTTGTTTCACAGACCAGATTGTTCCTAACCATCTCTCCTTCTACTGTTCAGCATACCATTGGGACACATCGGACTGGATGCCTAACACCAGGCTATCAGACATTGAAGAGGTGCCGGGCTATGAAGCACCCCCCAGCAGCGACGCAGCATGCTCAGCCCCACGCCTCGGAGGAAGCACCCGTGAACTTGAATCAGACTATTACCTAGGGGGCTATGACATTGACAGCGACTACCCCCCTCCCCACGAAGAAGAGTTCTTGAGTCTAGACCAGCTGCCACCTCCGCTGCCCACAGGTGAGGAATACCCTGAGGCCTACACGCCGCTGCCCACCAACCCCCCAGTCTCCAAGGAGAGCACCCTGAGTTCTGGCAGCGCTGGGCATCAGCAAGCCAGGCCAAACTTCCACCCCAGCCAATACCTGCCTCCCCACCAGCTGCCCCTTGGAGAGGCCTCCCATGGGGACCTCAGCACTCCAATGAGTGGGGTAACCCCAGGAAATGGGGACACTGATGACTCTGTGTCGCTAAACATGCGACTGTCCGTTGGTGCATCGTCAACCTCGGACATGTCGGCCCCCGGCGGGCTGGATGACTCTGAACATGGCAGTGACTTTGACAGTATGGACGAGCTTCGTCGAGGCGTTACCATCATCACTGACTCACAGCAACAGACTGAGGTGTGATTGGTCAGTAAACAAAGGCTATGGGATCTATAATGGACCAGAAGGAGCATAACATTGGAAGAAATGGAAGGAAATGCACAAGTGGAGGTTATTGCAGGAAGAAATGCTTTGTCATTAATGCTTGGTACTTCTTTAGCTATAACAATGACCTTAAATCTAAACAAATTTCAACTGTTTTAAGTACTATCCTTTGGAAGTGTTGAGTTTGACCATAAACAACACACTCACTGTGTGTTGTCAGCTTAGTCTCCGCTGTGCAGAACAATCAGAAGTGTCCTTCCTGCTCCAATAGGGAGTCACTTGTAATGTGAAAAGAATGGGGTAGAGAATGTGAATGAGAAAGACTAATCCAAAAGAGATGGAAATGTACAGATGCGGTAGAGAAGATAAGAGAGAAAGAGAAGGGACAATCATGTAAGTAAAAGGGTTGTTTTTTTCCCTGCTCCTTCAAAGAAGCCAATTGGACCACTACTTTCTGAAAAGAAATACAAAATAATTACACAAATGCCCGTTTCTTTTTTTCCTCCGGGGATTTGTAAACTTTGTAGTGCTCCGAACTTGTACAGACTTTGTAAAATAGTATGCCCTTACTGGTGAGTACGTCTGAAGCAATGTATCAGCCACATGACGAAGAGCCATTTATTTGTTTTAATGTGGAATGTGCTTGCTCTTTGCCCCAAAATGTTTTTTCCGCCATCAAGTCATGAGATTTCTGCCATGGTTTCTCATCATTCTAAAATGTTTAAAATGTTTAATGTATCATTCAACTTCCAGCTTTATTTCATCTGGTGCGGAAGCCAAGAGCTGCTATAGTTGCTGATGTAATAAACTATAAATAAATCACAAACTGATAATTATACCCACAGTTAAAGGTGGGGTAGGTAATTTTGGAGAAACCAGCTCGAGTGCGCTAGAATTTGAAAATACAAAACCGGAAAAAATCTGCCACTTCCTTACAGAGCCCCTCCTCCAACACACATGAACGCGCACATGACCAATGAGGGCACGAGATAAGTTTGTGCACAGATGGAAGGCTGACAGGCAGGTAGGCCATCCAATCATTTTAGCCGGCCCGGCTAAAATGATTGGTCGTGCTTTTTACAGTACTACGGCTTCCACAGATGACATTTTTTAATGGATTTTTTGTCAAAGCACTTAAGATATTCATTGCTATCGGGATGTTAAGAGCATTCCATGGAATATAACAAAAAGTGTATCTCGAGCCGGTTTCTCAAACTTACCTACCCTACCTTTAAGACACCGTTTCTACATGTAGTCTTTAAAGACTATTCTTTTTGGATAAATAATTTCCTCTAATATTACCCCCAACTTAGTTTAAGGACATCAGGACTTAACATGTTGTTCTGTTCTCTCAATACATTTCAGCTGCTGTTAATAAGAACAGCAGTAAAACGACCTTTGTCGTTCTACATGACTATGATGTACACCTGTATGAATATGTTACTATTAAGCTGGTAGCCACAGGGCTGATGAGTGAGCTAGTTATTGCAAACAATGAATGAAGCAGCTGATGCCAAACAACTATAGCGTGACCTCAGGGTTTGGCCTGAACTAACGCTATGCTCCATTTGGTGGACTATTAATTATAACAAAGCCTTTTTTATTGTCATATTTTAGGTGAAGAATCCTCACCCACAACTGAATAGAATGCCATGATCTAAATGTGATCATGAGAAAATGTATCTGAAATAATTATATTAGCAACCGCAGCCACTCTTTGCAACAGTCATTTCTTATCTGCTACTGTAGAGTTAAACATCTTTGGCACAAATAATCAAAAGCGCCAGCCGACCATATTCTTGTTTCTTTGATCTGTTTCATATCAAAGCATTATTCCAAATATCCATGCGGAACAGACACATTTTAGCGGCACTGCATTCCAGTTTTGTCTGTTACTTTGTAGCATCTTCACCATGTCTCTAGACAGAAGTCGAACCTTATCCCGGCCCTAATGGCTTAGTTCCCATGCGGCCTCGTGGACAGACAGCACATGAAACTGCTTCAGATCGTCACTGTATTGTACTCTAATCTGCCTGATCCACTCGGGCATGCAGCTCCTTTGTTCTTTGTAACAGATGTATGTGTTTAAATCTCTGTACATTGTAAATAGCTAGGTTGTTAAAATGCAGATTTTGTAGATACACAATCCTAAACTTCCTTTGAGTTTTTTCTTTGTTCGACTGTTTGATGTGAATGTGGACACTAAGACTGTGGAATATCAATTATTTTCACATCATTCCTGCCCTTTCACTGACGGACTGAATGCCATTTCAATATTATAGATGAGTTTTGCACAGTATTAAATCCAGAAAATATTAGTTTTCTTACTTTTGTTTGTTTTATGTTAATGAGGGAATCGTTTTTGTATATTTCTTTCATCTGGAATGTTTCAATGAATTTCTAATGTTCAAAGACATTAGGCAGTGTCAACAATATGTCCCCTATCTGCAGACATTGTGTGTACAAAGTGAGTGCTTTTTTTTACTTTTTATTTCAATGCAGTGCAGACAATAAAAAGGTTCTTGCGCAACATGTCACCTGTCCTAGAATCTGAAAAAAATACACCCGCAAATCATCACAGCTGCTTACACTCCTCATATTGGGGCTAGGGTTAGGGTTACCTTGTGGTAATACTTTGCGTTGTGCAGACTCCCACATCTAACATCCTTAATAAGAATCACAAAGCATCATCATTCACCTACTCCTGTTTTCCAAACCACCGAAGATCAATGTTGTCCTGTCGCACAATGGGTAATATCAAGTTAAAGAGCTGTGAAGCACAATGGTTACAAACCCTTTTCTATCATTGAGTCAAGTGACGACCCTTGACTATTGTTAGGTGACATATTGTGTGGATATTTCATATTATATTATATGCATTACAATAACAGCGCCAGTACACATGAAGAACTCAAGAACTATAATAATAATAACTTTATTTATACAGCACTTTTCAAAACAAAGTCCCAAAGTTCTTAACTAGATTAAGAACAGGCCGTCCAGGCTGCAACAAAGCATGCGGTCATAATTCCCCAAACCCACCCAACTAAAATATACAGCTTTTCAACCATAGCAGCAGTAATACAAAAAAAGAAAGTAAAACAAATAGAACATGGTTGTCGAGTAAAACTGAGTGTTGTCATCATTGGTTAAAAGCTTGAATAAAAAGGTGAGTTTTAAGAAGGGATTTAAAAGATGTCACTGAGTCTGCCACCCTCCGATTCTCAGGCAGGGAGTTCCAGAGCTCTGACGGAGAACGATCGGTCACCCTTTGTTGTTAGCCTGGTTATGGGAGCAGCCAGCAGAGCCCCTCCCGAGGATCTGAGATTGTGCACATGTAGGACGTAAAATATTTTTAGGGTAAAGGGGAGATTGTTTTTTTCAATCAGGGGCGTTTCGAGACACTCTGGGGACCCCAGGCAGAAGAGACCTGGCCCCCAACACATCCAGCACCACCCCCCCCCAACTGAAATTACGAAACTGAAATGATGAAGCTTTTGACAGCGCGCTACTATGACATGTCATTGCAGTGTCTTCTACATGGCAAGAAATGAAAGGGGGTTTCATGTTGTCGTTGCTGAGGACCAATGTAATCGACCTTCTTTGGGGTATTTCCTTGCCTGTTGGCAAGCGGCGCCTCTGTTTTCAATATAAGAATAGGACTACAAAAGTCATTATGATCATTACAATATCTGCTGATGACTTAGCTTTATTGCAGAGATTTTACAAATACACCTGAACTACATTTAAGCCGCTCTGGATAAAAGTGGCAGCTAAATATTATGTAATGCAGCATGCAAGATATTACTTCCGTGTGCACTGCATTCTCCACAAAGACAAAATAGGTTATATTAAGTTTTGTATTCATGACATTTTCCAATCATTGGCAAAAAACAATATTTTCCCCATATGTGTTTTTAATTGTCCAACTGCATTTCCTTGAAATTGTAAGATATAATAATAACAACAGCCACCATTCCTGCACTGTCAACCAAGGGTGGACCCTCAACCCTTACAGCACTTTTACCTCTACCTGTTTGATTTCAACCCTGACTAAAGCAACAAATTAAATTATAATAATCATTGTGTTGCTATCCTGCAGAAATGGCAGTGAGTCAGGGGGCTCAAGCAGTAGCAGGGTTGGTGGTTCGATCCCCAGCCCTTGCAGCCAACATGTTGACGTGGCAGGATACCTAACCCCACATTGCTCCCGTAGGCAAGTCTTTATATAAACGCTAAGTCATTCTGTATGTGTCATGACTGAACATCCACACTTCTCTCCTGAAAAGTCTTCCAAACCAGATTGTCCGTGCAACATTACAGTTCTGAATGTCCATTTTAGGTTCAACAACATCAAAAAGAACAACCAAAAATAGCATAATTTAACATATTCTGTTGAGTAAACTTTAATTACTTTTTGAGGTAACACATTATTGAAATAAAAATGTTCTGTTGAGTAAACTTTAATTACTTTTTGAGGTAACACATTATTGAAATAAAAATGCATACATGCCGTTAGACATGCCACAAACGCAAAGAATAATGAGTTTAATTCACTATTTCAATGGAAGACCTCACATGAAGCCCTTGATATACTGTAAACGGCAATAGGATCGAGTGTCAACAGTCATTTAAAATGTGTTCTTGCTGCTCATACCAGGTCTATTAATACACGACTGAAACTAATACAGTATAAATTGTTGATGCGAACATATGTGAACCCGTTTGATTTACACGGATACAACAAAAATATATCAGATATATGCACAAAATGCACAGAATCAAGGGGAACATTGGTTCACTGTATTTGGCAGTGCAGACAGATGAATGTGTTCTGGGAAGAGGTACGAGGTACAATAGAGAAAATCATTTCAAAGCAGATTTGACTGGATCCAAAGTGTTTTCTGTTGGGTATATATAAAGCATAAATATAGTAAACATGAGCGATCATTCATAGACCTCAGCTTGCTCTACGCCAAAACCTGTATTGCATTTTTTGGACAAAGGCTCACAGCCCAAGCATCACTCATTGGTTGGGACTGATGCTGTCAGGCCTCCCATTGGAGAAGATATCCTAGATATTAAGAGCTAGACAGCAAGTATTTGAGATGGTATGGAAGCTCTTCATGGATTATGTGAAGGATCTAAATGTATCTAATGTTCAAGAGGATGAATAGATGTATTGCCGGCACAGTTTCCGAGATTCTTTTCTGCATAATGTTTTCAAAGTATTGCCTTGTATAATACAGATGAAGCATGTTTGTTGATATTTCATTTTTTTATTATTGTTATATAACAATTAAAAGAAAAACATTGTGGGAAAGAAAAACACTGGAAATATCTTTACTTGAATAAAGTGTGCAAAGCACCTTTTTATCCAAAGAAAGCTACATTTAAAAAAAATACCTCCCCTGATTTAAAAAACTGAAAACAAAATCTGATGTCCTACCTTAATAAAAGGCAAGAAATAGAAGTATGAATGTGCCATTAAAGGGATGGCCACGCCTTACACAGAGGTGTAAAGACAATACTCATGCAATCATGTACGTCTTTGTTCAGAGACGGATGTCCTCCTACCTGCTTTGTGTGGATATAAAAGCTGCCGTCCGTCCATTGTAGGACATCAAACAGCAAACAACTTACTGAACAGGTGGAATCAGAGAGCATCACAACATCTGTCGCTGCAGGGAAGACAAGTCAACAGCAGACAAAATCAGTAAGTCATTTAATGGTGAATATTTTAAGGATTTAAATCAATGCAAGTTTAGTTTTACAATATAATGAAATGTAACAATATTCATAATAATAATATAATACAAAATCACTTGTTGCCATGACAATCTTCCTTGCTCGTGTATTTTTTTCTGCTACATTTTTGTGTGTTGTTAATTGTTTGTTTCATTGTTGTGTGCGTACAGCTGAATTGTATGGTTTGAACTAAAACGTAAAAATAATGCTAACAATCTATTCCAGAAACTGTGTATGGTAAAAACAAAAACAATAACTTTGGTAGAGTTGTAGCGTTTCACAGTAAAAAAGTTAGCATTTACAACTAATAGAGTATTTCTGTCTCAAATGTTAGTCTTTGAAAAAATACAATTATTTTAGTACATGCTGAGTTACACTGCATCTTTGTAATTTGTAATTTTATAAGTATGCTTATTGAAAGCAATACGTAAAAAAAAACATTTCGTTTCATGCATTTCTTTGTAAAAACAATACACGGTTGTTGTTACTGAACCCATACTAACAAAAATATATGTTTATTTTATTTGAGCAATCAGGATTCCTAAAAAGATGATGAAGATCTGTGTCATCCTTCTTCTTTGCCTTAGTAAGTTTAATAAATCAGATGCAATACACAATGAGTCATACATGCTGAATGAAAATCTGAATGTTATACTGAGCCATCAATAACACTGCACCAACCACAGCTGCACCAACCACGGCGTCCTCAGCCCCAACAGTAACTACTGTGGCCCCTGCAGCAACTACTGTGGCCCAAGCACCAACCACGGCGGCCCCGGGAGAAACCACAGCATCCCCAGCCCCAACAGTAACTACTGTGGCCCCTGCAGCAATTACTGCAGCCCCAGCTGCAATGACAGCGGCCCCTGCAGCAACCACAGCGGCCCCAATACCAACCACAGCTGCACCAACCACAGCGGCCCCAGGAGCAACCACAGGGTCCCCAGACCCAACAGTAACTACTGTGGCCCCTGCAGCAACTACTGCGGCCCCAGCTGCAATGACAGCGGCCCCAATACCAAAGACAGCGGCCCCTGCAGCAACTACTGTTGTACCAGCCCCAGCAGTATCTACTGCGGCACCTGCAGCAACTACTGCTGCCCCTGCAGCAACTACTGCGGCCCCAGCAGCAGCCACAGCCGCCCTAACCACAGTGGGCCCTGCAACAACCACAGTTGTCCCAGCCCCAGCAGTAACTACTGCGGCCCCTGCAGCAACTATAACAGCAACTACTGTGGCCCTTGCAGCAACTACTGTGGCCCAGAGTCCTGCACGGGTCTGATTTTCAAGACCCGCTCCCGCGACGCGCAATACCGAACCCGCCCCGCTACCCGCACATATTGCCAATTAGTTCCGCAACCCGACCCGACCCGTCGGCACAAGATCCGCAACCCGACCCGAACCCGCATATATATGAGCAGAGAAAACGTGCAAATATTAACACACGCAGTTGCATATTTGTCTCAAAAAGCGTGGGATGTTGGTTATTTTCTCCATCTAGGATGACACCAAAAGCCTCCCAGACGTTGGATTTCGCTCTTGAGGAAGTGTTATTGAAAATCCTGTATTGTCCGCTAGAGAGCTTCACCTCAGCCATTTCGAATGTGGCGCGCTCAGCAGCAGATTGATGCGCTGCAGAGGTTATGATTATGCGCGGTCCCGCGGGGGAGAGGTCGGGGGATTTAAACATTAAACTAAATTATTATTATTTTAATATATTTATTATGCAACACCCGCGACCCGACCCGCATCATCTTTGTTTTACCCAGAACCGAACCCGGAAAAAAGCGTTTGAAAAAATACCACCCGCGAATCACTTTTTTTGCGGGTCACCCGTCGGGTACCCGCCCGATGCAGGACTCTGCTGTGGCCCATGCACCAACCACTGCAGCCCCAGCTGCAATGACAGCGGCCCCAATACCAACCACAGCTGCCCCAGCAGCAACCACAGTTGTCCCAGCCCCAGCAGTATCTACTATGGCCCATGCACCAACCACTGCAGCCCCAGCTGCAAAGACAGCGGCCCCAATACCAACCACAACGGCCCCTGCACCGACCACAGTGGCCCCAGCACCTACCACAGCAGCCCCTGCAGCAACCACAGCTGCCCCTGCAACAACCACAGCGGCCCCTAAAGCAACCACAGCGGCCCCTAAAGCAACCACAGTGACCCCTGCACCAACCACAGCGGCCCCTGCAGCAACTATAGTTGTCCCAGCCCCAGCAGTAACTACTGTGGCCCCTGCAGCAACTACTGTGGCCCCAGCAGCTAACACAGCGGCCTCAGCACCAACCACAGCGGCCTCAGTGCCGATCACGGTGGCCCCTGCAGCGGCCACAATACCTACTACAGATGCCCCTGCAGCAAACACAGCCGCCCCAGTACCGACCACAGCGCCCCCTGCAGCAACTACTGCGACCCCAGCTGCAATGACAGGGACCCCAATACCGACCACAGCGGCCCCTGAACCAACCACAGCTGCACCAACCACAGCGGGCCCTGCAGCAACCACAGTTGTCCCAGCCCCAGCAGTAACTACTGCGTTCCCTTCAGCAACTACTGTGGCCCCTGCAGCAATTACTGCGGCCCCTGCAGCAACTACTGTGACCCCAGCAGCAACCCCAGCAGTAACTATTGCGGCCCCTGCAGCAACTATGGCACCCCCAGCAGCAATCACAATGGCCTCAGCACCAACCACAGCAGCCCCAGTACTGGTCACAGTTGCCCCTGCACTGACCACAGCGGTCCCAATACCGACTACAGCTTCCCCAATACCGACCACAGTGGCCCCTGTACCAACCACAGCAGCACCGACATCAGTGACCCCTACACCAACCACAGCGGCCCCTGCACCAACCATAGTTGTCCCAGCCACTGCACCAACCACAGCAGCACCAACCACAGTGACCCCTGCATCAACAATAGCGGCCCCTGCAGAAACCACAGTTGTCCCAGCCCCAGAAGTAACTAATGTGGCCCCTTCAGCAACAACAGCGACCACAGCGGCCATTGCGGCCCTTTCAGTGGCTACTGCGGACCCATTACCAACCACAGCGGCCCCTCCAACAACCGCGGCCCCTGCACCAACGACAGTGGCCCAAGTACCTACCAGAGTGGCCCCTGGACCAACAGTGGTCCCAGCAGCAACAATACCGGCCCTTGAAGAGCGGGGAACGTTCTCACAACTTTGGCTAACATCACATTACATGTCACTTGTTAGACGCTTTTATCCAAAGCGACTTACATACTCAATACTGTGGGCAATCCCCACAGGAGCAATTTAGGGTGAAGTGTCTTGCTCAGGGACACAACGACATGCTGACTGCAGTGGGGTTTGAACCTGTGACCCCCCTGATCCGAACACCAACGCCCAATCCACTGCACCACACGCCTCCCCATATTACCTACAGGTTCTAATAATGTTTTAAAGAAACGTTTTAATCTGATGTTCAAAGAACCTTTTTAGGATGTTTATTATTTCAAATAATGTTCCTATAAGGTTTAAGGTTAACTAAGACATAACGTTTTAACTGCAACATTCAGAGGATGTTTTGAGGATGTTATTAAGGCCTGAGATGACGGAACGTTTTTTTATAAAACGTTCCTTTAATGTGATATGTTAACCAAGGTGGAACATTTTGCCTACAACATTCTAAGGATGTTTTTTGGATGTTGTTGGGATAACTCATTAAAGATGTTCTTTATAAAACGTTCCCTCAATGTTACATGATAACAAATGAAGAACATTCTCCAAGAAACATTCTGAAAATGTTTTCAGGATGTTATTCTTTTTTTATAAAACGTTCCTGTGATGGCAAATATTAACATGGTCATGTCAGATTTATTTCTAGAGCGCTTTAAAAAACAAACTTGTTGCATTTGTTTGAAAAGGATGTTTTAAAAAAATCTGATGTCACCATATCTTCCTTTTGAAAAAAACAAACAAGCACGTAATTCATGATAAGCTGTAAGCAGATATTGCATGTTTGCGGTGGCATGTGTGAGTTCCCAGCTAGAAATGTTTGTTACCATTCATTGTTCTAGGAATGTTTTCAGCGGGACGTTTTATTTTGGTTCCCAGAATGTTCTTCTGAAACGTAGGATAACGTTCTCTAAAAACATTCTTGAAATGTTTGGTGATAACCTTCTTAAGATGTGTTTGATAACCTTCTTAAGATGTTTTTGATAACCTTCTTAAGATGTGTTTGATAACCTTCTTAAGATGTTTTTGATAACCTTCTTAAGATGTTTTTGATAACATTGTTAGAACATTATGCCTTACTGTTCTTAAAACGTTTTCAGCGGGACGTTTTATTTTGGTTCCCAGAATGTTCTTCTGAAAGGTAGGATAACGTTCTCTAAAAACATTCTTAAAATGTTTGGTGATAACTTTCTTAAGATGTATGAGCGCATTGAGACAATGAATAGGACGTATAAAAACGAATTTGCATGCCAATATTCACTCACATGCACTTATAATCACACTAAGGTATGTAGGCCCACAGTATTCTTAATATCATATGTGTAAAATATCAGAAAATAATCACACTTTTTTCTGACTATAAAGGTTGTGTCTCGTATGTAGGTTCTAATTGTTGGATAAGCTATCTGGGTGTGTGTGGTTTGTGAGGGCTGTGTATAAACAGTGTCCGCTGTTTATGCATATTGGATAAAAATCGTTATTGCACCCTTTAGATTTGAGACCGACAGACATACTGTATAGAAGAACGGACCGACTGTCACTGCCCATCCGTGAAACCCCTGTTAGTGTTTGTATGTGGAGGGAGGCGTGTGGTGTAGTGGGTTGTGCGTTGGTGTTCGGATCAGCAGGTCACAGGTTCAAACCCCACTGCAGTCAGCATGTCATTGTGTCCCTGGGCAAGACACTTCACCCCAAATTGCTCCTGTGGGGATTGCCCACAGTATTGAGTATGTAAGTCGCTTTGGATAAAAGCGTCTAACAGGTGACATGTCATGTATGTGTTTGTTTCTACTGTGTGTCTCTCTCTCTCTCTCTCCCCCCCCCCCCCCCTGCCTGCTGGTCTGCTCTACACGGCTGGGAGCAATCTCCAATCAACCACACCTGCAACCTGCTCATCAGCCACACTATGAAAGCCTGCAGCCTGCACTCATTCCCTGCCGGATTGTTGCCGTGAACGGATTGTTGCCGTGAACGGTTTGTCGTGTGCCGCTCTAGCTTTTTACCAGCATATTCTTTGACAACTTTGCCTGCTTTTGCCTCACACTCATGTTGGTGTCTCTCCCAGGAGGAATCCAAGGCCTTCCACACTCCCAAGACCAGCCAGGCCTCTCTACCCACCCTGGAACAACTGTTTCCCACTTCCGCCATAACCAACCTCCACTCCCAGCTCCCCTTTTCTAATAAACAAATGTTACTTTCACCAGCTGATTCCGAGTCTGATTCTGGGTCCCCTCCAGTACATGTGACACTGACAGTGGGTGTTTCTCAATCGCAAATACTTTAGAGCCTTTTCAACAGAACCTATTGACTTTTGTGATACTGATATAAACATTCAAGCCCAAGGGATCGAGAACATAGTGAAAGGAAAACACAAACCTTTTTTTGTAGGCAGAACAATAATACAAAACAAAATAAATACACCGTGGCTTCATTGGGAGTAATGGATTACATGATTACATCAGGATAGACATGACATCTATTGTACGTCTGTCCGTCCTGGGAGAGGGATCCTCCTCTGTCGCTCTCCTCGAGGTTTCTTACAATTTCCCCCAATAACTGTGGGGTTTCTATGGGAGTTTTTCCTTGTCCGATGTGAGGGTCTAAGGACAGAGGGTGTTGTATATATATTCTGTACAAGCTGTAAAGTCCACTGAGACAACCGTAAAATGTGTGATATTGGGCTAAATAAATAAACTTTGATTGATTGATACAACAAAAAGGTAACTGTATTCCCTTACAGTTATATAAAAAAAATATGTAATCAGATTACTGGTACATTTTCACAAAAGGGGAATAACTAGAGGATTACAATGTTACAAAAGATTTTGAAAATAAATAACTATATATTACGAAGCTAATGCACACGTATTATTTCACTACTCTCAAAAATGTAGCTATGGTGAAACTATTGTATTATTGTGGACTTTAGTTTTAAACTTGTTTTCACTGGGTGTAAATTATATTGTTTCTTTTACTCTTATCTGTGCAGCTCAACAAGTGCACCTCTGTGTACATTCCACATACTGGCCCCAGTAATAAATAAAACCCCAGTCAGTGTTTGTTGCCAGAAGAACAGCTGCATTGGAATAGCTAGAAGAAAATCGAACCAATTCTGACGGTTAATATTGAGAAAAAACACATACCTGCGTTACACATTGTAGATGACATTGTTATTGTTCTGATATTGCAAAGTGTGTCACCGAAAGTTGCATTTGAACATTAACGGAAAAATGCATGATTTATTTCCTGGATGGCAGCTCTGATATCTGGTGAGCATTGAGCAAAATTAGGGAGAGTAAAATGATTTGGGGCAATGGCTCCTTGTAGGATCTTCCAAAGCAAAGATAGCGTGGCGTACTGAATTAACTGGGACACAACTCAACCCTTTATCCAGTGAGTTACATATCACAGTCCTCTATATACAGAGCAGAGAAACCACAATAATTAATACTTTAGGTTTCACCAAATGGTATTGCTTTCTTTCTATTTTTATAGTCATTATAAACTGAAAAGTAAAATAAATGAATGGAATTTAGCAGGGTCCAATAAGCAACCTGGATTTTATAGAACAAATCTGAAAAAGATTCAGAAATAAAAGAAAGTGAATTAATTCAAATTATCAATGTGATATATGATTTTTTTTTAAACTCTGGTGTTTTCAACTTTTACATGGCCCAGGTTTTCATTGGAGAAATTGATCCGATTCCTGACAATGACAAAGTAGCATAGATCCTTCTAATTGCTGTTAATGGCTTTCGTGATACCTAAGTAATGCATTCTTCACAATGTGTAAATTAGTTTAGCATTCCTTTAATCTTCCTTATTAGTCTTGTTTTTGCTTTAAACGTGCAGGCAGCCAATTGGGTGTAGTTTCTGATCCAGTCCAGCAGATGGAGACAATAAGGCTACGTGCATATATCTAAAACAGACCC